CATTACTTAACATGGGTTGACCAATGTTTACATGACGGGTGTCGTCGGTGAAGAAGACGCGTACTCTTCCAGAACATCTGGTCTTATTATCCTTATAAATCTACAGGTTTTTAAAACTACATTCTGATGTAAGACATTTTAAAAATAAACTATTACGATGTAAGCAAATAACAGTTTAGATTCTATAGGTTATTTATCAAACTGTGGTGTTTTTGCATTGTGAGAGGAGGGCGAGTAAATTTCGTGTCTTGGTCGTTAATGCAATTGTAAACAGTATAAATGTATATACATGATTTGTTTAAATGGGAAAGATTTGCGTTGATAATAAGAACCCTCTATGTTAGGACATGTTTTGTAATGTTATACACGTCTTTGTCTTCAAAAAGAAGATTTGAATATAAATTAAAAGTTGTCATTCACTTTTGTGTATTTTGTTCAATATTTAATAAAGCAGTTCCACGTGTATCCAATGAAATCATCACCTCTCACTACGTCTATGTCAATCACACTTCACAAAACAACAAAGAGAGTTCCAACATGTTGACAAAATCCTAATCCAAACTGAAATAAAACTAGGCAAATATGTAAACACAAGAAAGATCTACACAAAAACTCCTGAAATTTCAAGGAGAATAAGACCAGATCAGGTGTTCCGGAATAGTAAGCGTTTTCTGCCACGTGGTTCTACACTGTGTGTCTTCCCCTGTCATACCTTGCGTAGGTAGGGAACAGAATGGGGTCCACGAAAATCGCGCATTGGTCCTACAATGTGTGTCTTCCGCTGTCATACATCGACACGTTGGTAGGGAACATAATGGGGTCTAAGGGAAACGCCCACGTGGTCCTACAATGTGTGTCTTCCCTTGTTATATCTCGACATGTAGGCCGGGAACAGAATGGGGTCTAAGGGAACCGCTCACGTGGTCCTGCAATGTGTGTCTTCCCCTGTCATACCTCGACACGTTGGTAGGGAACATAATGGGGTCTAAGGGAAACGCCCACGTGGTCCTACAATGTGTGTCTTCCCTTGTTATACCTCGACATGTAGGCCGGGAACAGAATGGGGTCTAAGGGAACCGCTCACGTGGTCCTACAATGTGTGTCTTCCCCTGTCATACCTCGACACGTGTAGGGAACCGAAATGAGTCTAAGGGAACCGCCCACGTGGTCCTACAATGTATATACTGGCTGGGTATGATAGCAGTTTTATGTCTGTTTCTGTACCACACCTTACAAAGAATATCTTTACAAGCAAAAAAATCGATATCCTGTTTCATTTTCCAGCTTGATTCAGGACCTGTTCAATCAATGTGTCTTTAATAATAAACGGAGACGGATCTACAACAGCTAATAACGTATTTCTATATCCGGTTCATAAACGAATGTTTTCATGTTGTAATATATATGTATATAGATATATGAATTAAATAAAGCTCATATTAAACAATGAGATATGTTTCAACTGAAAAAGTTCAGAGAAGATAAAATTAGCGTGTACATTTATTGTTTTAATTTATCTACTTAGATAACACAACACCGACTGAAACAGCAGTCCAATCAAATTGAAGTAAAATGTGACTCAACATTGCAAAGTAAAATAGACGAGTCGTCAGCAACAACATATTTTTTACAGGAAAATCAAAAGATTCTGGGAAATGTTGACTATAATATTACTATGTTATATACAAGTCTTACATATCTTCTACTATTTCTGATATAAACACGCTGCCCTTACACCAGGAGTATAATGTCTTTAACTTTCTTGTATGTTTTTTTTTATCTCCATGTGACTTGTAATTGATATTACTGGTCAGGATAGTTGTACTAGTCAATTGATAGGTCAGAATTTCATAATCCGTTCTACAAAACGCTGGTAACAGATATGGTGTGTATGGTTGGGTATGTATTACCTCTTTGTATTTCCATGTACAATGCTATAAAGCTCTCACTGTCCTCGATGCTATGCATTATATATATGTAACTGTCGTTACCAATGCATAGTTGTAGCCATATATAACATATTCCAAACGTGGTGTGTTTTCAGTATTTACATATATACTGACAGACCTATCTGAATTCAATACGTACGTATCAGCACCATACATATTTTACTCCTCTGAGTATATAGACTAGAAATAAGTGTTTAATAAAAAGATGTCCTATTATCCTAGTGCTGTCAACCGTACAGTGCTACCTTCGATCGTTCTGTCGCCGGATTCGTATCGCATGTGTATATATACTAAAATACATTCCACGTACGTCGCTGAAGATCGATCTTTTAAATCGGCTTTCAATGAACCCCGTCCAACACCCAGTGTATATCGGACGTCTATAATACCCTTGAATTAGTCCCACATAAAGCGCATGCCATTATCAATGCCACGGTTGCTTAATCTTTTTATACCCATTGCGCATGTCCGTTTGACGCTTTTCAACTTCTGTCAACTTACCCCTGACAACCTGAAACATGTCTGCCTCCGTAAGACTATAGCTCAATGACTTCGGAAGTTGATTTCGATCGTGAAAACCGACGAGCTTTAACATAAACTCACATTTGGAAATATTTACTGCTATATCAATGGAATTACCCTGATTCTGGTTATTACATATGTACACGAGAGAATTTTCTACAGGTAAGAGAACTTTTAATTCCGCTTCTTACCTACACTAATATATATATATATAGCACACCAGTACTATTTACATGTACGTGTTCTGTAGATAGGCAGTTTCACCTGTGACAGGAAGGCATACGGATATCGGAAATTTTTAAATATATGTACACAAATTCTCAAGTCGTTCTTATATAAACACGTCCATAATGGAATTCAAAAGTAAATATTGGATTTCTCAAACGACAACTAGGAACTATTATCAATATCGGGACGACAAACTGGTGTTTATGTCATTAACATTCAATTATTTTTTTTTCCATTTGGACATAATCCTCCCCCATTTCACCTCTACCCCCTAAACATTGACTCCGCGACGCAGCCCCTCTCACCCACCCCCAATGTAAATTGGCTCCTATAAACACTTCACACCTCATCCCCACTCAATCCGTATCTATCATAGTAAGTATGTTTGTCTACAAACGTTTATAATCCAGTGTTGTAAAGGAGATGAATCACCATGGTGTTACTCATAATTTCTACCCTCACCATGGTGTTACTCATAATTTCTACCCAAACTAAGAAAAATATGATAGTTCTATACTCCTACATAATATTTGATCCACAAAAAATAGAAGATTGCCGTTATTTATGACAGAGGTTGAGTATTCCGTCAGTGTCCATATTCCCAAGTATCTATTAGGTGTTGGTAATCAACACTATTAATCAGCAGTACTATAATTAGCACCGTAGGGATTTGTGAAATGATACTCATTTACTTATATCTAGTATCACATACCTGTGCTGACTTGGTGATCTACCTGTGCCTTTTGTACCTGTAGTATTATATTTCGTGTCAGACCGTGATTGTATCAGTGTTTAGATATAGCACTAACGGAGTACAACCTAAGCATACTGTAAAATTGTAAAACAGATAAAATCTTGTCTTCATACTCGGGTTATCTCTAAAAAGCTCTTGATACAACGCCTCCTGACTCCCCCCCCCCCCCCACCACTTTACTGTCACCTTTGCAAACCCTTATGTAGGAAGACACAGAGACTCACAGAAATGTATAGTCTGGACTTGTCCAATCGTTGATTTCCGATTTTTTCATATTGTTTTATTAACCTTCAGCAGTGATGTTTTATTCAAATCTGATGAACAAAGTCTATACATAATTAGTAAGTTTCCAACATGACCAACATTACGTGTCTTCTCGGAAATGACAATTAAATGATGCATTACTTGTCAATAAAAAGATATTCAATGCAGTTCTGTATATATTTCAAATTTCCATAAAAATATCAACAAAGATTTGAAAATGTGTTAATTGATACAGTAAAATTGATACACATGTTCCTAATCACTTTAAATTTTGTCTTGATTTTGTCCCTTGGTACTTGATGTTGGTGAGACGGACGAAATTATTAGAATTAGTCCCTTTAAAACAAGGTATTGAATTACTTTATTTTATTTATATTACATATAATACAGACTAGAAAAGTACGGTAGCTTTCACAGCAGGTAGGCATTTAAAGTGGTCGTGGCCAGACGTGACAGGTAATTCCATTTACTTCATTGATTAGCATTCACTTTATTTGCACACATATCCAATTTCTGAGCTGACAGGAGGTTTCCAGGTGCTTTTAGAATTTTGTTTAACTTTTTACGCAAACATTGGTCCCTGTAAGAAATCGAAGCTTAGAGCGAGCTGACAAGCTAATCTTTTCTCGTTCTCCCTCCCACAGACATGGTGAATCAGTATTGGTCTCGGCTCTAACTCCTATACAATACCTTCTGTGCAATCAAACTGATTTTTAAACACTAAAGTCAATAATATTGTACATACCGACTATTCCAAATAGGCATTACAGGATTAGGGTGATTTATTTCATTTTTACTCATTTTTTTTCATTTTAGCCTCCCACATCTATATGATACTGTACGTAAATATCTGTTTGTTCAAGTATTATCTGACCTCTGACCCCTACATAATTTAAGCCACTGTCCAATGATGTTTTTACTCCATGTTTCTTTTTGGCCCTTGTTTATAGCTACTATACATAACAATGTTTACTCCGAGTATCTGTTGACTCCTAAGTCATTTTATGGCACTGTACATAAAAATATTTACTCCAATAACCTTATGACCCTATATTTCATCCGAGTGTACATAGAAGATGTCACTTGGAATATCCTCTGACAATAAATAGTCTAATTCTGAGTACCATCTGACCTAGGTACCACTGTATAGAAAGTGAAGTGCGAATATTTTCCCAGCTCTTCATTCAATGTATTTGGTTTTGTACAATTTTTTTCTCTTTCAGCTGGACAATGAATTAACTTCCATTTCTTAACTCATATTGAGTTCTAACAAAGGTTTGATGATGAGCGGGACGTCCTCTGTGATGTCTGACGTACCTAGGTACCAGGTCGGACGGTCGGACAGCTCTGCTAGCAGTCTGTCCATTTTTCCGTTTGGATTTGATTCTAAGACGCAATACGACGCAAATGAATCTCTCATTGCGATACGAAGTGCCAATTTCACTAGAAAGGAGTTCGAAAAAGATGATGACATTTGGAAACGCCCACCCCCTGACTTCCGTCCTCAGAAATTTGCGCCACATCCGCCAAAACGAAACTCCAGAGAATCCATGCAACCGTGGCGATATGGTACAATTCCTGGGGAACACGTGTTTGTAAAGAAGCCTACGACGAAAGTGATTCCTAAAATTTTAATGCCCAAGAAAACACCAGAAGGGCGTATAATTACTCAATTTCATATAGATCGGCCATTTACGGCAAAGAAGAAATTCGTAAGGGAGGGAATGTTTAAACCAGAAATGTATGTCAATCCGACAGAGCACGATTTCAGAGGGGTATGTATGTTACGATTTCATTGAGTTTTGTTTTCTCTTTATTTTTGTTTCAGTATTGTTAAATATCTTAATCAGAAATACGAACATCTATTCTACGTTTCTTCCGATCGAGATAATTCGTTCATTTGAGCCTAAGTTTCATTTTGATGGCGATACCCTAAATGGATATTTTGTGGTTTGGTTAGTTGTTTAAAGCTTATTTTCAATCGCATGACAATACAGTGTTGAAGAGCAGTGAACGGTTGATAGACAGAAAAAGTAAAATTACCTTTATCGAGAGACCAGTGTGATATGAAATACCTCTGTTAAGGAACCATTTCTATAAAAGGAGACATTATGTATCATAAGATTTGTTAGAGACGATCTTTTTAAGATATCCCTCTAAAGAGACCACTGTGATAGTAAATGATCACTTTTAAGGAATCATCTCTCTTCAACGACCACATTTGGTATTTCCCGTCAAGAGTATATTGTTAATTAATCCTTCGTTTAACTTATTGGTTAAGAGACGATCCTTGTTAAGAAACCGGTTTTATTTACAGGTTAGGTCAATCTAAATCAAAATATTACGTGCAATCAGAAACTTTTTTCAAATGTTTCCTTCAATATCTAGATTGTATCTTGTTTCCGGGTTTCAGTATCCACCGATTAAGAAGTTCGGATTACCGGAGTTTACGACGTACGACGAACCGGATCCATTCGATATCTACTTCAACACTGAGCGACTGAATATCAGTAAGTACTGGTTGTATTCGATCTGCAAAATTTGGGTTATGCTGGGGAGAATAATTTACCTTATCTGCATATTGAGTAGCCATCGATAACGACCCGCCTACTCCTATTTCAAGGACTAGGTTGAACCTAACCTTTGACATGTACTGTTGTTTGACGTGTCTAGTCATGTCCTTTTGCATCTTCTCAGTTCATGGTGAACCTCTTGAGAGAGCAGTGGACCGGGACATCAAAGGTCTGCAGATGGCGCCCCCTGTACATATGCTGCCAAGATGGGAAAGAGAGCTAATCTTGGACAAAGAACCATACCCGACAAAGCCGGGCGAATTCAACGTAAGTTATTTTCTAAAAATGATTCTCAATGTTTCAGCAGTAATCCAATGTGATAAGTCAGATTTTTTTTATATTCTAAAATATTCTAAAAATTAAAAATTATCCATTGAAAGATGAACTTTTTATTTTCAGCGTCATCGTTTACGATTCAGACCAGCTCGCAGTGCGTTTATGGAGCGTGTAACACGAACACTGGACATGAACTGGGCTAAAGAACGATTAGACCAAGCATTAGAACAAGTGCAAAGTTGAGGAAACTGTTTATAGGCAAAACTGTAATATTTCATAGGTAATTTCTCCTCTCGTGTGGCATAAGGACAAGTTTCTTCCCGTGGTGTTATAATATACGCTTTCAAATTCGACCTCTTGTCAACTCATCCGAATCGCATGTTTTCGGGCTTTTCCGAAATAGACTATAGATTTACCGGAAATGTCCCGATACCAATAACGCTACCGGTGCTTGCCGATTGCTTGTAATTACTACGATGGGTAACAGACGTCTCTGCCATTTTCTCTTCTTAAAAACAGAAATCTGTTGACATATAAGTATATACAGGTATCTATGTATCAGTGTAAGATTCAGAATTGACCTATGACCTTTAATGTTGAGTAGTATTACAAAGCATCGTATCATATCTGTTGTTAAAAACAATCTGAGAGAGAGAAACGAATGTATGATAATACATGTATTTATTTATTAACCATACTGTATACATTGTAGATAATCACACTCGCTATGATAAGTGCTGAAGTTTCACAATTGTTTTCCTTCAATGTTATATGTAATGTGTTCATTTTGTATCTTTTTCCTTCAGTATGTTGTGCATTTGCTATTCGGGTAAAAATCATCTGTGATATTGAAAGTGATACATTTCTCGTTATTAATTTTTTCCTGACTTAATTATGTATTAAGAAATCTCAATACCGTTAGAAAATGTTCCGGGTAGGTGATACTTATATCATAAAAACGTGGTTATTAAATTCTATTAACATTCTAAACGAAGAATTGACGGAAAATAAGTAAAGATTCAATATAGAAAAAATTAATGATTTCAAAATATTAACGATGATGTTCATCATATTAGGGCATTAACGAATGTTGATACATCGTGTTAAGAATATTCTTTTGATCCGTCCTGTCGGAATAAACTCTCCCAATGACCTTTCAAACTATCTAGACCCTTTCCTCCCTCTCTGTAAAGGAGTGCTCGGAACATGTCCTCCATATCCGCGTTTGCGTTCCCGTAACAGAGTTTTAATCATTTACTTATGGCACGTCATATGCTTTCATAATGTAATAATGAGATCAGAAAAATACATCCGAACCTCGTTATCTCGAACTCGTATAACTCGAAGACTCTAGTTAATTCGATCTCACTTAAATCGAATAACCGGATATATCAAACTTTCCCAACGGCCATGTCGACTTCGAAATAACGAAGTTCGACTTTATATCAACTAATTGAAATATAAATAGAATGGAAATACTCTACTGATAATTGCTCATTTAGTGCTTCTTAAGTAGATAGTTTAAATGTTCGTCTGCATCAGAGACTTAAGTAGATAGTTTAAATGTTCGTCAGCATCAGAGACTTAAGTAGATAGTTTAAATGTTCGTCAGCATCAGAGACTTAAGTAGATAGTTTAAATGTTCGTCAGCATCAGAGACTTAAGTAGATAGTTTAAATGTTCGTCAGCATCAGAGACTTAAGTAGATAGTTTAAATGTTCGTCTGCATCAGAGACGTATATAGCATGTCTCTGATTACACTCTGTACAAAGTCAAATCATCGAGTCACTAACTGACCTCGTTTGCGAGTTTACAGTTTTATAAACTGTACTTATAACTGATGGGCTAATAGTCTTGTTACTATGACGTCATTCAGTCTTGAACCTCTATTCTAGCCATTTCATAATTATGGATGAATGAAAATGACGAGTGATAGGTCTTAAGTAAAATAGTTTTCAATGGTTTATCGATATCTGTTGTTTCCAAGAAATTATGGCTATTACAAAGCCAATTCTCATCTGATTTCAAATTATGGCCAACCCACATTTTGATCTAAACGGCACATTCACCATGCCCTGAAGAATCAGACGACAGTGAACAGGACAACAATTGCTCTCGCGTTAAGTGTAAGGAACGACAACTCTGAGGAGAATTGTCAAATGTTTCCTATCGTATTCTGATATACTTTCCAATATAAAAGACACCGAAGAACTACTGCTCCCAACCCAACCATTTCGATATTGTGTTGAGGTCCACATCAGTCGCCTCATGAGTTAATACAGGGAGACACAATTGTTTGTTACGTAACACGGTATTATACCAATAAACCCAGTAGATATTTCACTAACCTTATTACATTTTTATCTTTTATTAGAAATTACAGGCTTGAAAGTTTTCTCTCTTGTTTCAATCTGATGTAGGGATGTTGTTTTTGTCTTGTTTATTTTGTTAAGGTAATATAGACCTGTTAACATTATGTCAATGAGTAGATATTTGTATCAAGAATGATATAAAACAATTACTATTTTGTTACTTTTAATACATATATTTTATACATTTTTGCCTTTTGTTGTTTTTTTAAATTAGTTTCATTACGAACATAATATATATATTTATAAAGACCCGGATGTGGACGAGTGATGTGTTCTCTGTTTGCTACATGGAACCGAGAGGCTAATACCACTGGATGCTTCACCTTCTAATGAATAATCTCAAAGACAAATCATGGATGACTTTTACCCTTAAAGAAATTTTTATCTAATAAATTTGAATGCAACGATTTTCATTGATTTGGAACTTCTTGAAAATTTTATGGTTTGTGCACATACCAACTATTCCATTGGACTGGCCCAGGTCCCGATCCGATCTTGTCTTTTTCCACAGTAACGCGAAAGTAACCATTCTGATTCATACAGAGAAATTTTCCTGCATTGAACACAGGGTCATAAAGTCCTAGTGATTGATTGAATATAGATGTTCATTTCATATTATTATATTAGAGATAATTTTCTCGTGAGCACAAGTTATCATTTGGTGAGCACGCGTAAATATAACGTGGGCACGAGCTATTTTCTTGTGCGAACGAGTTAAATAATTTTGCACGAGAAAATCATAGCGCGGTCTGGTGTGTATTGTTCTAACTTGAGGTTGTCTTGTTGGAGAAGTTATCGTCCTTTGGTGCGTTAAACGTTCTCATCTTTTTCCGGATATCTTCTCCAACAGTTTTGATCAATTTCTTTGAAACTTAGTATGTTTCATTACGATGACGTGTTACTCGTGATTTTCCAGAATGTTTTATTCAACATTTGCTGTTATGATGTGCTTTCTCAATAGATACATGTTTTGCTTATGGCATGAACATTGTTCCGCCTCACTTTACTTGGTATAACACATACGTGAACTGGACAGACGTACCGTGAATTTTGCACTCTTGTTCTATTGCAATTTAATGAAAATCTGGAGCACAAGTAAGCACCATAACTACAAGAGGCGGGTGTGAATTATTACACCAAGACGTACGTATGTCAGTCTGTACGTCCGCAGCTGAAACTTGTGTAAAACTTGGCATTAACTCCCCAGCAGATTTAGTTTATATTCACCAAGACGTACGTATGTCAGTCTGTACGTCCGCAGCTGAAACTTGTGTAAAATATGGCATTAACTCCCCAGCAGGTTTAGTTCACATTCACATGCTTTTACATCATCATATCAGCTGCTTTCCATCTCAGGTGTCGCCAAAACGTAGTTATAAAAATGATGATGAAAGCAAAACTGTTAGCGATGACTTGTTGGAATCTGATTTATGTATATGTTGAATTTATAAAACGATGCATAATTTTACAACAGTTAAATGCTGAAAGGAAATATGACATCTACCTACACAATCTAAAGGAATAATGTTACAGTAATGTTTGCAGAATCCATGATAAAGAGATATTGTAAAGTGCAGAAATATTTCAAAAAGGAAAAGGGACATGTTAAGTGAGAAGAGAAATACTTATGTAATACAAAACAAGACTGGAACTGTATATTGCGCAGCTACAAGATATTAACTGATTTCTCTAGCCATGTTTCTACAGACTGTTAGTGAATTCTTTCACCGTTATCTTTTCATGTAAAGTCAGAAAAGGTTCAATTTTGGTCATGAAATTTTATTTCTAAAATCAATCCAAGTAACTATTATCATGGATCACTACCAGATCAGAACTTGTTGCTTCCTGTGTTTTTCACACAAAATTCGTTTCGAATTAGTTTCCTCCATGTCTATTGTCACCAGCTAATATTTGTCTTTGTCGCATTTCATGATTTACGTCGGAGTACTCAGCGTCAATCGGGTACTTGAAGTCGGCTGTTCTAAACTATTGTGGTAGGTTATAAATCGTTACAGGATGCTCTACACATCCTCTGCTACCACCATTTATACGGATTCTGTGTGTATTCCACACATCCACCAGAATCTCTCTCTCTCTCTCTCTCTCTCTCTCTCTCTCTCTGATGAAGGAAATTAAGCAGACGAAAAAAAAACAAAAACAGACAACGTATACAATAAGCGATATAAAAAGGAAACACAAGCCTAACTGTCAACACATCTCTTATTTAAAGTAAGTTTGTCTACAAATTTTTGACGAGAATACCCATCAACATAGCCATTGTCGAGAATATCCATCCACACAGCCATTGACGGGAATACCCATCAACATAGCCATTGTCGAGAATATCCATCCACACAGCCATTGACGGGAATACCCATTAACACAGCCATTGACGAGAATACCCATCAACATAGCCATTGTCGAGAATATCCATCCACACAGCCATTGACGGGAATACCCATCAACACAGCCATTGACGAGAATACGCATCGACACAGCCATTGTCGAGAATACCCATCGACACAGCCATTGACGAGAATACCCATCCACACAGCCATTGACGGGAATACTCATCAACACAGCCATAGACTATAACACCCAATCGACACAACCATTGTCGAGAATACCCATCCACACAGCCATTGACAAGAATAGCCATCGACATAGCCGTTGACGAGAATACCCATTGACACAGCCATTGACGAGAATACCCATTAACACAGCCATTGACGAGAATACCCATTGACACAGCCATTGTCGAGAATACCCATCCACACTGCCATTGACGAGAACACCAATCGACACAACCATTGTCGAGAATACCCATCGACACAGCCATTGACAAGAATAGCCATCGACACAGCCATAGACTATAACACCCAATCGACACAGCCATTGTCGAGAATACCCATCCACACTGCCATTGACGAGAACACCCATCGACACAGCCATTGTCGAGAATACCCATCAACACAGCCATTGTCGAGAATACCCATCCACACAGCCATTGACGAGAATACCCATCCACACAGCCATTGACGAGAATACCCATCGACACAGCCATTGTCGAGAATACCCATCGACACAGCCATTGACGAGAATACCCATCGACACAGCCATTGACGGGAATACTCATCAACACAGCCATTGACGAGAATACCCATCGACACAGCCTTTGACGAGAATACCCATTGACACAGCCATTGACGAGAATACCCATCGACACAGCCATAGACTATAACACCCAATCGACACAACCATTGTCGAGAATACCCATCCACACAGCCATTGACAAGTATAGCCATCGACACAGCCATTGACGAGAATACCCATCGACACAGCCTTTGACGAGAATACCCATTGACACAGCCATTGACGAGAATACCCATCCACACAGCCATAGACTATAACACCCAATCGACACAACCATTGTCGAGAATACCCATCCACACAGCCATTGACAAGAATAGCCGTCGACATAGCCGTTGACGAGAATACCCATTGACACAGCCATTGACGAGAATACCCATTAACACAGCCATTGACGAGAATACCCATTGACACAGCCATTGTCGAGAATACCCATCCACACTGCCATTGACGAGAACACCCATCGACACAGCCATTGACGAGAACACCCAATCGACAAAACCATTGTCGAGAATACCCATCCACACTGCCATTGACGAGAACACCCATCGACACAGCCATTGACGAGAACACCCAATCGACATAGCCATTGACGAGAATAAATTTCAGACGCATCCATCTATAACCATGTAACTGGCTCCACGTATTCAACTTATTATTAAGAAATGAAACTACCTCAGTTATGTCCGAATATCGTTTACATCTATGTAGTCCCTTTTCAAATGTCACATCGACATAATTGTAACCTAACCGAGCGATTGCCACAAACAACAAGAACAAAGATATCTATTTACATGTATATTACAAGATAAATTACACTACATCATTTACAATTCATATTTTTTTGCATTTTATTTTCTATAAAATCAACTCACATTCTATCCATTCAACAAGGTACTATGTCCAACTCTCAGACTTCACAGGATCACATTGACAATTCCTAACACCACTAATCATAATATATACAACACCCTAAAGTCTCTGTAGCTTCACTAGGCACTATCTCAGTAATATCACAGATGGACGTCAACAGAGAAGTTCCATAAACAGGTACGAAATAATTATGCGAATGTCCATAATCTAACCACTTCGCCAAACCGACGGTTGCCTCAAAAGATCCGCTGGTTTCCTTTGCTGATGGCTTCGGTAAAACAACTTAGTGGAGTTTGACTGACCCCTACGGGTCTCCATACGACGCCGACACTCCCGTCATAGTGATACCATAGGAGAACATATGGTTAGTGTCACCATATATATAGTCTCCATCTCCCGCGGACACGACACTGTATACCGCGGTACCAAATATGCTCATTCAGCAACCCAAGTACATTACCTTGGCACCTTCCAGCTGCCGTACTTTTCCCACCTGGACAATAGTGTCCCAACAGTCTCCACCTCAGAAGCTACAAAATATATAGAATTACCTTAATTATGATAATTATACCTAACATTAGTTTCCATTGCCTATAAAAGCTATCCACGCCATTATTTGGCTGTTATAAGATGTTTACGTGTAGTTTACTGTATAAACACTACTCACGAGCGCGCACGGGCGTACAGGTAGATACAATAACAAACAATCCAATACACGCTCAAAATCAACCTTCCGTGAACACATTCAGCTCAGAAGTTATATACACACATAGAAAGGGGAAAACATAGTTTATATACTCACCGTGACTGATATTTCACGCTTCTAACCGTTAAACTGGCATCTGTATTTCCATGCCACGTCTACACCATACCATTCCGGGTGGACGCTCTCCTACGGTAGCCCAAAACATCCCACCGTAAGCACACGTACTATTACCAAAATACTTACCCAATTGTCCGGAAAGAGTCGGATTGTGACAATAATTAGATCACGTTTTGTTGTTTTATTTCAAAGTATGATATCCCCATCATGAAATATTCCTTCATAAATGCCTTCATTCTGTCATTTGCGTATTTATATGACAATTCGTGCACACCGCGACATTAATACCATTGTCATCGTGTGCCCGAGATAATTAACACATGCCCACAAAATAATAACTTGTGCGGACAAGATAATTAACTCGTGCTCACGAGATAATACCTCGTGGTCAATAGATGATAGATTAGATTAGATTCTTTATTAGCCAGGAGCTTTACGGCTCATAGGCACAAAAGTGATACATTTACATATAAATATATAATAATATATAATACATGCATGTAGCTTACGCTCACACACACCACCTCACACACCATCCCTCACACACACACCACCTCACACCCACACACACACACACACGCTGACATATCGGGAGAGCTGAACACATAACATACACATATATATAGCTGTATACATGATCCTAGCAAAAAGAGTTGGCATTATTAGAGATTTTCACGTTTTTCGGTAGCATAAAACAAATATTTTCCCAAATTACAAAGTTCCTTTACATTGTTTACACTCAAAAGTTTGATTAATTTGAAAACACTTGGACGTCTGTGGTAAAACTTTTTTTATATATTTTCTCCTTAATTCCTCTTAAAATGGGCATTTTAAAATAAAATGAAATTCATCTTCAATATCTTTTCCATTACATCTGATGCACACTCTATTTCTTCTTCCAATATTTCTACGACGCCCAGTTTCTATATTAAGATTATGTGCAGATAGTCTAAACTTTGTAATTAAACGTGTGTATTTCGTTTCAATTGGTTTACATAAATAATATTGCAAATTAAAGTTATCAGTAAGATATTGGTACAAATATCCTTTAGAAGAGTCTTTAATTCTACTTAAAATTTCTTGTTTATTTACATCTAATAACCTCTGTTTTATTCTATTATACGCAGCACTAGCAGGAAGATCATTTTCAAATAAATACTCAAGACCTAATATTGACAACTCTTGTTTTATATTACTCATCCATACATCATTTCCACTCACACATTCGTCATAACATGCTTTCAAGATGCAATTATCGGAACTCTTTATTTTCAACCAATATTTAAAAATAACTCGCGTAATTCGCGTGCATGACATAAAGGGTTTCTATAGTTGTGAGTTAAGGGACGGGTGTTCTTTCGTTGATGCGCAGACAAACTAGAGAATTGACAAGTAGAGACTGCTGGTGTAATTACGGAACTAGCACGGGTCTCACACGACCAAAGATTCTTCATAATCCAAATAGGATTAGAACCGCTTTCAAATAGATGTGCCAGAGGAAAATTGTGTATCATATTCGGCATGCGGTAACTTTAGAGATATACATTTTTTGATTTAAACATATTTTATTGCGTATAAATATACATAAAGGATTGGGCACAAGTTTTCCAACTTATACTAAGCCCGTTCCAAGTAATTAGTATTTGATATAAATGTTGATGATGGCCTATTGTTATATATACATATATATACGATCATAAACACAGAGAGAATGAGAGTTACAAAAACAACATATACATATAATTCTTACTAAGAACAATAAGTAATGTTGTCTAACCCGACTCGGGTGACAATCATCATTATAAATACTGATCCACTGCTCTTGTCGTTCAAACTAATCTATTGTCTATCACATCCCGTGCCACCGATGTCTTTCTCCTTGACACTTGCTGGTCCTTCTGGAATAACTTTTCTCAAACATACGTCACCCGAGTCAGGAAAGACCAAATATAAAATTACTATGAAATAATGTCTAATTAAATCTATTAGTATTTTTAATATACAGTTGGGTTGATTGACAAATAGTTTCATTTTCCTGTTTAGACAACTGAGAATTTCCAAATAAAAGAAGGTGCAGGTCCAGTGGGATGAAATCATTTAGCTCACGATACAACTGTAAACGTTGATCGGCATAATTAATGCATTCAAAAAGAAATGATGTGCATCTTCAATAGAATTTCCACATTGACAATGTTTAAAATTAACCAAATTAGCATGAAATAAATCATTATTTAGAGCGCTTGATCTGTTTCTTAATCTAGAATTTTTTCTGTCACCAATTAGATAATAGAAGGGAATTTGAGTATCTCTAACACTACGAAGAGAATGTTGAAAAGACGAATATGTTACACTTTGTCGGGTTTCATTATCTAACTGATTCCATAGTTGGATTGTAGAGGGAAAGAAGGAGGAATTTGTAAGCTGTAAACGGTAATTGGGTATAGAGTAATTATTAGCATTCCGAAGGTTATATTGAGAGTTTTCTGAGACTAGGGGTGGAAGGAGAGATGTTAGGTAATTGGGTGCTATATTGTGTTTAATTTTTTAGAAAAGCTGCAATTGTCGTCTAGATCGTCTAATGGTAAGTGGTTCTAAACCACTTTCGGAATATAGAGACTCTCTGCTCGTGTACGACGGTAATCCCGTGATTACACGAGCAGCTTCTAATTGGAGTTTTTCTAATTTGTCTGTATCACCGAGAGTGCACCCATCCCACACCTCACAACAATATTCTAACAATGGTATAATATAAGAAGTATATATTCTATACAAAGTTTGCCGACTTAACATAAATTTTAGTTTACGCAAAACACTAATCTGCTTTGATACTTTTTTACAGATGTCATCAATATGGCTAGTCCATTTACAATTTCCGTCCAATATAACTCCCAAGTGCTTATGTTTATCTACAAAATTCACACTAACATCATCAAATTTAATATCAATAGCATAATCTAGTTCAGAGTTATGAATAAGTAATGCCTCTGTTTTTGAAGGATTAAACTTTACAAGCCATTTTCTCGCCCAATTTTGAATATACTCTAAATCATTGTTGATTACAGTTTCAACATTGTAAGGGGATGGATTAGAATATAATAACGATGTATCATCTGCAAACAACTTTGATAGACTTTGAAGATTATCATATATATCATTAATATATAAAATAAATAATAAAGGACCAAGTACAGAACCTTGTGGAACACCAGATTTAGTCATTCGATAGAAGATTTAGAGTTGCCCACGCAAACCTGCTGTTTTCTGTCACTTATATAATTTACAAGCCAAATTAAAAGTTTACCACTTATACCATAATTTGCTAGTTTCACCTCCAGTCCCTTGTGCCACACACGATCGAACGCTTTCGATATATCACAAAAAACTAAACACGTAGGATGCATTTTTTTCTAGATTTTCACATAAAGTGTGATAAATTTCAATAAGCTGATGAGCCGTCGAGTGACCAGGCTGAAAACCAGACTGAAACTTGTATATTAATGAATTTTCTAATAGATAGTTATTACAGTACTAAGTAGTGAAATTGGTCTATAGTTAGTAAAACTGTGTTTATCTCCAGTTTTAAATAATGGCATAACTAATGCGTGTTTCCACAATTTAGGAAAACCCCAAGTTTCCAGAGAAGATCTGAATATAAGACACAATGGTATAGCTACTGAATTTGCTGTATTTTTAAGCATATTATGGCTAATTGTATCTATACCAACAGCTTTGTTTATATTTAATGATTTCAGTATGTCAATTATGTCATTCAATTCAAACTGAATGTTAGAGATAGTGGAGTCTGTCCGTAGTTCTACTGTCGGTACTTCAATGTTATTGTCGTCAATAGTAGAAATGGAAACAAAGTAATCATTTGGAATATTAGCCTTACTATCATCGGCCATTTCAATATTGCCGTGTATATCTCTAATAGCAGGTATAATGTTAGAAACATCGGAAGTTTTTATTAATCTACGGACTATTTTCCAAAAATTTCTAGGATTTGAGTTGGAATATCTGTCTAAAATACCATTTATATCAGCATAGAAAAGTTCTTTTGTTCATTTCTTAAGATTATTCACACGATTACGTTGTTTCCTGAAATTTGCTAAATTTATATCTGAACGGTTAGATTTATATGATTTCAGTAGTCGATTTCTTTTCCGAATTTCCCGTCGTAAGTTTGAGTCAAACCAGGGTTTGTCATTAGGTCTAATCGTCACCGTCCGGGTCGGTATACATTCACTAGCTATGTCGAGGTATCGTGTTGTAAATATGTCACACATATCATCAGGTGAGTTAGCAGTCGCGTATAAGTCCACCCAGTCTGTTTCGTCTAATTTATAATTGAATAATTCGTAATTTGCATCTTTATAGCATCTTATCTTCCTTTCGTATGTCCTTCTAAAATTCGTCCTAACAGTTAATTCAACGGTTGTCGCCTTATGGTCAGAAATGTCACTGTCTACTTCAATTACATCAGAATATGTAAAAGTGCACGTGTCGGACAGTATAATTGGGTCAAGTAAGGTCGAGCTAGTACGTCCTACACGTGTTGGTCTGTGGATGATATTCGATAGATGAAATGAGTCGAGGATATCATTAAGTACGTGATTACAACTAGCAGTTAAAAGGTCAACGTTTATGTCGCCAACAATTACTACATGTGAAGTTTCATTAAGAGCATTTTCAATTGGGTGTCGGAAAAAATTCCAAAAGGGATTAACACAATGTGGAGGTCTATACACAGTACAGAGAAGATAATTCTGCTCTGAAAACTGGAGTTCTGTCCAAATCATCTCACCATCCCGAAATTCTAGATCAGCTCTACGTCGGGTGCACAAGAGACTGGAAATATAAACAACTAAGCCCCCTCCCGGTGTTCCACGGTCCTTACGGTATAAATTATAACCACTTAGCAGTATATCAGTATCTACAGTAGAGGTATCAAGGTGAGTCTCCGTGACACAGACAACATCGTAATCTGAAACTGTATTTTCTAGAAATGATAGTTTGTTTTTCAGACTACGAATGTTTAACTGGAAGATAGAAATGTCAGTTTTTTGGTTGGAAATGAGCAGCTGTAATATAAGTAAAAAGCAAGAATTGTTAGTAATAGAAGACAGAGTAACATAAATGGCTAATAATAATGTATTAATGATAAGCATCAAGCTAGACCTGCATCAAAGTAAAGAGAACACATGGATATGATATGAGTATCAGGTAGTGTGGTGGAGAACAGATCTATACATATACCAAATTTGTTGAAACAAACATACGGATTCCAAATTTGTAATATAACTTAAGACAAATACTAAATTCGTAATATAGCACCAAACTAATACTAATCTTCAGACGAATACTTAATTATTGATTTAACATCAGACATCGACCAAATTTGTAATAGTAATTTCTGATACTGACTTTGTAATATAACATCATAAAGTCACCCCTTTTTCATATAACCAACACTATTGAAATGTATACAATAACACACGTGTATACTATACACGCCTATGAAAACGACGATTTTAAAAAACATCCTTTTGTAATATAACTTCAGACAAATACTTAATTTGATTTTAAAAAACATCCTTTTGTAATATATAACAATATACAACACACGTGCTATAACACATTATGGAAGGTGTACACGTATCAAAAATAAAGTACAACAACATGCAGTGTTATACCAACATTTTACCTGTAGAATTTTGGCTGGTATATATGTAGGTAGCAGAGCTCGACGATTTTTTGTAATATTACTTCAGACTGATACTTAATTTGTAATGTAACATAATAAAAACATCCGTTTGTAATATATACAATATAGGCTATAACACATGTGTACACGTATCACATGCGTGTTTTATAAGGTGACGATTTTTTTATGCAATGTTTTATTGGTCGCCATTAGAAAGTGGTTAAAAATTTACCGTTTTAAATAATTTACGAAAAACTAATCAGCCACTGAACAAAGCTAAAGTACAATATGCAGTAGCAGATATACTGACATTTTATCTGTACAATTTTAGCATCCTGTCCGAGAATCAACACGGAAAAGATAACGTGGGTTAATCACATAATTAAATTATTATTACAGACAAGATAGATTTCATATTTTACAAAGTTCAAAGTTTATGTCCGTGTTTATATAATCATCATTTTTGTTGTAAGTCGTGGATCTAGGAAGCTGTGGAGGAAGTCGACGCCATAGGATATGATGTGTTTTCAGTAGAACGTGGGCGATACTTGGCCTCGAGTGCACTCACACATGCCTCCGCCTTGACAAGAATTTTACCTGTATTTTCCCCGGTTTTGTAAAATATTCGTCCGTCCATTGTCCATAGTGAATGAATGTGGTTGTCTTGTCGCAGTTTATCTAACCGACAAGGGCAGATCTTAGTTACACTTTCCGTTATCAATATTTTGTCTTTGAGATTTTTACAAAGTTTTTTGTTCTGGAAGACCTTGTGTCGGTCAGAGTATCTTACAAACCGCGCAATTATCGTTGTTGTGCCATTCCTTATACCTACAAGAGTATGAGACCTGGATAAATCATCTCGAGTAAGGTTTACTTTGATTTCTCGGGCAATGTTTATAACTGCATCATGAGTATCAAATGACGATATGGGACAGGGACATTGTGAAATTTCAGGGCGGTACGTCTAGAGTACTGCTGTTGGTCTTCTAGTTCCATTTCGAGTTCTCCTATCTTGGATTTTAGTAAGTTCAATTCTGATGCTTGATTTTGGATACGGTCAATGAGTGGAGTTACATTGTTATCAACATGTTACACATGAGATATACAAAAATGTACAAATTCCTTTCTGCTATGTAATTGGTGACATAAAACATGCATGCCTGCCAGGTAATTAAAAAAAATCAGTACTCACCATCAAATTTAACCTGATTAATTATAGAAATCGTCCATGTTGGTTTCCTGTTTAATACGTTTTTTATTTCTTTTTTTCTATTAAATAATTACGCTGATCAACGCTTAAAATTGTATCGTGAGCTAAATGATTACATTCCGTTGGACCCGCACCTCGTAGTACACGTATTTCGTAGAAAAGTATATTATTTGTGGATGATTATGAGAAAGTAAAATATCATTTTGCGAGCACTATTGAAATGTTAAAAGTTTTGTGGGGAGATGTTAAAGAAGTCAGTTTTCTTGACATTTCGTGCAATTTAAGTGACCGTACCTGTGCATGTCGCCACAGTCGTATGAGTGTCTCCACAACGTGGAAAATAATCGGATATATGTCCCCTTAACTACGGCTTTTCCAGACAGCCCCCCCTCCTGCTCTCTGCCCTCTGACAATCGGTGAAAAAGAAACTAGTTTGTAAAGCAAACTGAAAGAAATTACAAACGAAAACAAAATATATCTGGTATGAGATTGTAAACAGTTTTACGATGTAGCGGTAACGATAGTGTCATGTGGGATCAAACAATAACGACAGCGTCGTGAGGCCAATATCATACCATCTATTATGATAAACAAAGCCAATAATGTCACATTATTTCAATAATTCTATAATTACACTCTAACAAATTTTATTATCATCTTACGACATAAAATGATAAACAATATTATAAATCTGATTACACATGATAAAAAATTGACATCTTTTTCATTGAAATCTGGGAACAATGCGAGAAAACTCCTGCATGTCAAAAACATTTCATTTACCCTGAATGTCAACATTATAATTGTTTGATATGTATATAACAAAATAAATTGTCACGCATATAAAAGATTCGAAATAAAACAATTTAAAAGATGCATTAACATCACTATATATCATAATTTATTATACTGTAATTCTTTAAACTAATCTAATATTTACAAATGTATGTATTTCAACCGTTTTCATACACACACAAGGCCGAGACAAAGGTAATAGTGCCATTCGGTCACATACTTTGTTAAAGTAATGTTATAAAAATACTTTAGCGTTCAAAAAGTTCAGTATCGGGTATAGAAAAAGGAAACATTTCGTTCCCTTCTCGACCCAACAGGACAAGAGTTATGTACAGTTGGCATCAATGTCATCGTTCAATTAGTCAACCTTGGAAGTCTTGAAGCTATCGGATTGACCTCTAAGAGCGTCCCAGTAACCTTTGACCTCCACACCTTCCCAGTTCTTGTTGTTTAATGGTTTCATGTATCTGTGGAAGAAATTGGTATCCTGCACTAAACATGGATGAGTTTCAGAACTATGAATTTCTCTGTAAAAAGGCAGAGTAACGTTAGCAAGACTGACAAAGTATATCTCAATCAAACATTGGTAAACCTGACAAAGTATATCTCAGTTATACATTGGTAAACCTGACAAAGTATATCTCAGTTATACATTGGTAAACCTGACAAAGTATATCTCAGTTATACATTGGTAAACCTGACAAAGTATATCTCAGTTATACATTGGTAAACCTGACAAAGTATATCTCAGTTATACATTGGTAAACCTGACAAAGTATATCTCAGTTATACATTGGAAAATCTGACAAAGTATATCTCAGTTATACATTGGAAAACCTGACAAAGTATATCTCAGTTATACATTGGTAAACCTGACAAAGTATATCTCAGTTATACATTGGTAAACCTGACAAAGTATATCTCAGTTATACATTGGTAAACCTGACAAAGTATATCTCAGTTATACATTGGTAAACCTGACAAAGTATATCTCAGTTATACATTGGTAAACCTGACAAAGTATATCTCAGTTATACATTGGTAAACCTGACAAAGTATACTGAACAAAATAAGTTAAGGATCATAAACTTGAAACAGTGCAGTTTTACATACAAATAATAATATGATTATATTTTAAATTTTAATGACAGAACATTCATTTTAGTCTTTAATTACACAAAACAAATTCATTTGTGGTAATTGCTACCAAGAGCAGATAACTCTGAGTAACAGCACCCTTGAAATCAAAGTGTAAGAGGAAGTAGAGCAAGTTAATCATGTAGACAAGGAAAAGTCATCAAACTGCAATTGGCAGTTTAATAGGCAGTATGACCTCCGTTGACATCAATAACTGCCCTGCAACGTCTGCACATGCTCCTTATTAGTATATGCGCTGCCATTCCTCTTGCAGAGCAATCATAAGCTGTTGGCGGTTCTGTGGCGGATTAGGTCAGCTGAAACCCGGCGTTGCAAGTGTCCCAAGCATGCTCGAAACCTTGGCCAGTCCATGCGAACGATTGCTTCACGTTGAAGATAGTCGTTGACCACACGAGCACGGTGAGGACGAGCATTATCATCCATCAGAATAAAATCATGGCCAACAACTCCTGCAATGGGCCTTACTATAGGGTGTAGAATCTCGTCCCTGTATCGAACAGCTGTTAAAGATCCATTGTCTATGATGTAGAGGTCTGTATGGAAGTCAACACTGATCCCTGCCCAAACCATCACTGACTCACCACCAAAGCGATCATGCTGGACAACACAGCAGTCTGCATAGCGCTCTCCTTGGCTTCTCCATACCCTCCTCCTACCGTCATGGAAGTCAACACAAAACCTAGACTCATCTGTGAACATAACATTTCTCCAATGACGTAATTGCCAATTCAAATGATGTCTGGATTGTCGATGACCTCTGGATAAAATTGGTCGGACTGCTGGTCTTCTACCTAAATTAGAGGCAAAGTATATCTCACGCTGAAACTGAAGATTCAAGACAGGAGCACTCAAAAACCGCTGACGTCGTGCCGTGATGCAAATGAATCTGTCCTGTCGGGCTGTCGTACAGCGTGGTCGTCCAGATCTGGGGCGTTGACGGACGTTATTTGTCTGTTGATAGCGATTCCATAGCCTACTAATCACGCTCTGAGAAACATGAAGCTGTGCCGCCACATTTCGTTGAAACCAGCTTGAAGGAGCCCTATAGCTCGCGCGGCTTCCATATCATTTAAATGTCTTCGCATGATTAGTTTTTCAAGTTTTCGTTACAAATTGATTAAATGTTTCCAAATTCAACTTTTTTTAGCTTAGAAGTAACAGAATCAAAACCTGCAAGATTCCTCTGTAGTAATAGACCAGTCGGTTTTTCACACCACCATAGTTAACTAGAGCGTTCAGATGCACGTGCTTTCACCTTTGACATGACTTTAGGTACATATTGGAGAAACTACGAGTGCAATTACCGGCAATACATGATTTGAATTTTTAAAGATATTATGGTCACAATTTATGATCCTTAACTTATTTTGTCCAGTATATATCTCAGTTATACATTGGTAAACCTGACAAAGTATATCTCAGTTATACATTGGTAAAAAATTCACTTTCCATCTAAAATAAACAAATTGTGTTCACCATTTCTATTGCCTTCAGTATTTTATGAATAATTCCATGAAAACCATTTCTGATAATACATTCGGTAGTGCCGAGCACACATCTTACACATTCATTTCCCTCTAGTCAACGACTTAGGAAAAGGACTCCACAAGAAAATCGCAAATCTGAGATTCTTCGGAAAAGAAGTTTATGTTCCACAATAAATATTTCTATATTTTGGAACATTTTTTTCGGGTTGGTAATGTCAATAGAATAGAAGTTCTTATAACACAACCAGTAGAAGGTTAGAGTGTGACGTTTCGATGACATGTCACTTCCATCACACTTGGTCGATTCCGTACAATCTCGTACTTTACGTATGTCTGTTCTAGTACGCTCCACACCTGGCGTTTATCTGAGGAAGGTGACCGTGTAGTCATCGAAACTTCACACTCTAATCTTCTACTGGTTGTGTTATAAGATGAAGGTGACCGTGTAGTCATCGAAACTTCACACTCTAATCTTCTACTGGTTGTGTTATAAGATGAAGGTGACCGTGTAGTTATCGAAACGTCACACTCTAATCTTCTACTGGTTGTGTTATAAGATGAAGGTGACCGTGTAGTCATCGAAATGTTACACTCCAATCTTTTACTGGTTGTGTTATAAGATGAAGGTGACCGTGTAGTCATCGAAACGTCACACTCTAATCTTTTACTGGTTGTGTTATAAGATGAAGGTGACCGTGAAGCTATCGAAACGTCACACTCTAATCTTCTACTGGTTGTGTTATAAGATGAAGGTGACCGTGTAGTCATCGAAACGTCACACTCTAATCTTCTAATGGTTGTGTTATAAGATGAAGGTGACCGTGAAGTCATCAAAACGTCACACTCTAATCTTCTACTGGTTGTGTTATAAGATGAAGTTGACCGTGTAGTTATCGAAATGTTACACTCCAATCTTCTACTGGTTGTGTTATAAGATGAAGTTGACCGTGAAGTTATCGAAACGTCACACTCTAATCTTCTACTGGTTGTGTTATAAGTACTTCTATTCTGTTTTCCTTGATACAAGAAAATTGCATGCAACATTTCACGGGTTTGGTCATAATGACATATAATGGTATGTCTTACACTTACCTCTCCATGACCTCTTGGCTTGTCTGCTCCTCCAAGGCAGTGAGTGGTGTATACACACAATCAAAGTTCTTCTTAGCATTCACAAGGCTGAAAAATATGGATTTAAACTAAAAAGGGCTGTTGTTCATTCACTCATGCCACAAGTAAATGTAAAAAACAGTAGATAGACAGGGTTGATAACGGAAGATCTTAGATCCACCCCCTCCTCCTCCCCACCCCATTCCCCACAAAGGAGTACTGTCCCTACTTTGACACACGTCCTCTCTTTCCCGTTCGGTGCTAAACAACCCATACACATCTGTTGATTGATATTAATTAGTCTTAATTAATGGTCATTACCGGAGATCACAGGGGTCATAAAAACGGCTTACCTGGCTGTACTAAATAGTGTGGTAGGTATGGGCTGCTGGAAGGTGAAGGCCAATGCCAGGCGAGAAATGTCGACACCTTTGTCCTGTGTGGATTGAATAGTGTAGAGTTACAAAATCACCCAACAATCAATGATAAACTAATGCTGAATTCCTCCCATATTTCAAGGTTTGCAATGCATCGAAATGTATGTCAAGAAAAAATTAGAAAGGTCTAAAAGATTGTTGACAGATTTGTAGCAACCTTGAATTTCTATAAATAGTAACGTGGACTTTTCATGATAAGTAATTATATATATCATATTCTAGCAAATATGTAAATAGTGCGTATGTAACTCTAGGACACAGAAAGTACACAGCCCATGTTACCTTCCCTAATGTGTCTGTGACTATTCAGCACTGACGGAATTAGTGTATGACGTCCGGGTATTGCGCAGTGACCACGAAATTTGACCTATTGCACATAAAGCATCTCGGAATACTGCGATTGTGTGGTCCAAAGAAAGGGACCCTACTGGGCATAAACCGTCACCATGACTACCATATATACTGACACAAAAGAATCTTCCTCTGTGAACTTTTTATGCTTGATGTATTTATTGTGGTCGGGTGGCACAGTGATGACGCACTCGCCTTTCATAAAGGCGTCCAGGGTTTGATTCCCTGAACGGGCGTGAAAAGGAATAGGGTCACATGCACGACCACGTGGGTTTCCCCGGGTGCTACGGTTGCCTCCTACAGTAAAACCCCTTGCGCGATTTCATCCGTCCCAACAGGAGTGATTATTATTTGTTGGAAAATATGACAACTGGGATGATAATCATGTGCCAAGATAAACTACTGGTTGTCAGTCACATTAACGGCACATCACATCGCAGACTTACAATAGATTCTAAATCCGTGATCACGTGATGGACTGTATCCCTTAAACTTCAAACAATCGAAAAAACACAACATTTTTCTATCATGAAGGAAAATATTCAGAAAAAGAAGAGTGCTAAAGTATTGAAACCCCTCAGAACTGGTGTGGAACAATCACCGTTGTCATAACAACATACCCGACAATAGGCGGCAGCTTTTGCACACGTGTCCTTAATGTCAGGTTGGGCAGGATGCCAGGAGGCGGGTCCGCGGTCAGTCAACAGTCCCATACCGATTGGGGAGGCGTTCACCACACCCACTCCCTTTTCCTATTTAAAATATAAATTTCTCATTTTTAAGTAGCTATCACTTTATGGATTGCAGATAAGTATCACCATATCAGGTTCTACTGTACATCACAAAATTGTAGGGTCGAATGTTCATCTGTTTACCAGTCGTATGTACTGTAAAAACGATTTCGTGAAAAATACAAAGTAGCAAAGACTTTAGAACGTCGTTTCAGTGTCTATCTGATAGTACTAATAAAGGATAAGAATATACTGTTTGTTAAAAAGGAGAGTTGTAGATATAGACTCGTATCAAGCAAAGCGAAGTTTGGGGGCAGATGGAACATTTTGATTAAAAAAAGGAATGAAATCGACGAGAAAACATGTAAGCAGTGAAATAAATCAGACGGATATTTACCTTGAAATAGGGAAGATAATCGGCCAGAGAGTTGTCATTCATACACGCGTGACAGTAGGTAAGTATGGTGTCGATCTTTACCCTACTTCGTTCCAGCACCGTTCTGTTAATACAGCATAGGATTGGCAATAAATAGTGAGATTTCATCAGTGATACAAACTGACATTTACACGGCGCCACTGGGCAGCATGGATATCACGCTGGCTCAGTCCAGATTACGTATTGTATTGAGTAGTTATTTTTGCAAAATAACGCAGAGAGACCATGGCGCTCACCATTGTTTGGTTATTATTTCTTCTTTAAACGTTGTAAAATTAGTTTTCCCTAATCTTTCCTTGGTTAAGTTGTTTTTTTACCTTGTTCTCATTTAAAAACATGACATCACCTGTAACCAACTTTTTAAGCACTCAGAGGATTGCGTTTCTCAGTAATAATTTGCAAATGATATGTGAAGTGCTTTGTTATAGAACAAACTCCTATATCAGGTCCGAATGATGATTTGGAGACAAGTGTCAGCAACTGATCGGGCACCAGATAGGCCACACCTAGGGACCAAACAGTACCTAGATTAAGCATGCCCAGTCCGAGAACGTTGTTAGATTAAGCATGCCCAGTCCGAGAACGTTCTTAGATGATTAAACATGCCCAGCCCGAGAACGTTGTTAAGTTAAGCATGCCCAGTCCGAGAACGTTGTTAGATTAAGCATGCCCAGTCCGAGAACGTTGTTAGATTAAGCATGCCCAGTCAGAGAACGTTCTTAGATGATTAAACATGCCCAGTCCGAGAACGTTGTTAGATTAAGCATGCCCAGTCCGAGAACGTTCTTAGATGATTAAACATGCCCAGCCTGAGAACGTTGTTAAATTAAGCATGCCCAGTCCGAGAACGTTGTTAGATTAAGCATGCCCAGTCCGAGAACGTTGTTAGATTAAGCATGCCCAGTCCGAGAACGTTGTTAGATTAAGCATGCCCAGTCCGAGAACGTTCTTAGATGATTAAACATGCCCAGTCCGAGAACGTTGTTAGATTAAGCATGCCCAGTCTGAGAACGTTGTTAGATTAAGCATGCCCATTAAACATTCCGAGAACGTTCTTAGATGATTAAACATGCCCAGTCCGAGAACGTTGTTAGATTAAGCATGCCCAGTCCGAGAACGTTGTTAGATTAAGCATGCCCAGTCCGAGAACGTTGTTAGATTAAGCATGCCCAGTCCGAGAACGTTGTTAGATTAAGCATGCCCAGTCTGAGAACGTTGTTAGATTAAGCATGCCCAGTCTGAAACATGCCCAGTCCGAGAACGTTGTTAGATTAAGCATGCCCAGTCTGAGAACGTTGTTAGATGATTAAGCATGCCCAGTCTGAGAACGTTCTTAGATTAAGCATGCCCAGTCCGAGAACGTTGTTAGATTAAGCATGCCCAGTCCGAGAACGTTGTTAGATTAAGCATGCCCAGTCCGAGAACGTTGTTAGATTAAGCATGCCCAGTCCGAGAACGTTGTTAAGTTAAGCATGCCCAGTCCGAGAACGTTGTTAGATTAAGCATGCCCAGTCCGAGAACGTTCTTAGATGATTAAACATGCCCAGTCCGAGAACGTTGTTAGATTAAGCATGCCCAGTCCGAGAACGTTGTTAGATTAAGCATGCCCAGTCCGAGAACGTTCTTAGATGATTAAACATGCCCAGTCTGAGAACGTTCTTAGATGATTAAACATGCCCAGTCTGAGAACGTTGTTAGATGATTAAACATGCCCAGTCCGAGAACGTTGTTAGATTAAGCATGCCCAGTCTGAGAACGTTGTTAGATTAAACTTGAAGCCAGCCCTACCAGAGAATGTTCTTAGACGAAGTGTGGCTAGCTTGAGAATGTTCTTAGATGAAGTGTGCCTAGCCTGAGAATGTTCTTAGATGAAGTGTGCCTAGCCTGTGAATGTTCTTAGACGAAGTGTGCCTAGCTTGAGAATGTTCTTAGACGAAGTGTGCCTAGCCTGAGAATGTTCTTAGACGAAGTGTGCCTAGCTTGAGAATGTTCTTAGATTAAACGTAAGGCAACCAACCTACCGGATAGTTCATCCAGGAATCTACAGTAGTTATATGTTCCCGAAAGGATATATACCATTTGTGATATATCTCATATATTTATCTAACAGTCAATATGCTTACACAATCGTCAGAAAGGGATAACACAAAGTATTGTAGTAGAAACAACAGTATGAACCGGAAAGAGTTGTATATAACCCCAATACGTACCGGAAGTTGTCCATGGGATATCCTGTGATTCCAATGAATTTAGCTTTACCACTTTCTTTGACTTTCTGTAAGGCGGGTAATGTCTCGTTGACGATAATATCTAGGTTAGGGGCAAACTCCATGTCGTGAACCTGTCATTGTACAGGAAAATCATTGACTTCGATCCTCATTTTAACACTGATAACTTTGGGAGAGTATAAGCATTTAAAAAAGCTGGACCGAGACAATTCCCGATTATAATGATAGTGTAAGTCTGGTATTTATATGATATAGGCACTGCCTTAAAGCGAGCGCAAGCTGGTTAGTAAGATTTGAATTTCGAACTGCATGATCCGTGTCGGCACTGAAGCGTGTTTTAAAAATTGTTTTATATTTCACAAGGTTTTATCAACACATCGGCACATACACATGTACCGATCATCATCATCATCATCATCATCATCATCATCATCATCATCATCATCATCTTCTTCTTCTTCTTCTTCTTCTTGTAGAAAACAATTCATCATCATGATCAGGTGGTGGTTTGGAGGCAAAGTTGTATGACACTTGTCTTTCACCCAGCCGTTCGGGGTTCGATTCCCTGAAGGGATACGGTTTCCTCCCACAGATAGACTCCTTGCTTACAACAAGTGTGATTTTTATAAGTTGAAAAAGATGAAGTTTTCATACGTAAATAAGTCATGCACATACAATCATACAACATGAAGGCAGACAAATTATCCCCTGGGCCCCGCTATTTAAAGACACACATCTATATATATGTTAATATTACAACAAGTTTAATTGTTCCATACAAAGTATTGAAATAGAGAACTTCTACTTGACGCCTGTAGACAGTTTTGAGTACCGGGTAATTACCTTGAATAGTTTAAGACAAGGTCTAAAAACTCGATTTTATGGTTTGGCCGATCTGTTTCCGTGGTAACAGAAAAGTATTTAAAAGGACAACTCCCCCATAACGAAAGACACAACTAGCTTAATAAATGTAAAAACGTTTTGGGCCATTATCTTGAACACTTTCAGAGCACACAGTCAGAAAAAAAATGAAATTTGTGATGAGGGATATATGTTGCCATGGTAACAGATAAAAATAACAAGGGCACTAACTTAATATATACGGAAGGTTTTGTTAGGTTAAGTGTAACGGTTTCGAAGTTGTAGTCCAGAAAGGAAAGTTATCACTAATTTTTTGTGTTTTTTGACTATGTTTCTATGGTAACAGCAAAACAAAAATATAAAAAATGAAATGTCCTCAATAGCAAAAGGCACAACTAGGGCACTAACTTAACACATACAGCAAGTTTTGTTAAGTTGAGTGGAACGGTTTTGAAGTTGTAGCCTGGAAATGCCCTCAGATGCACGAAAGGATGTACGGACGGACGGACAGACGTACGCACATAGATAGAGAGAAGGAGAGAGAGAGATGCAGAGCAAGTAAAAAATAAAAAGTGATTTTGAGAAGAGGAGAGAAGATCGCTTTTAGCTGCAATATTAGAAAAAAAGGTGCGCTCATGCACAACGACTATGTTAGAGACGGGAAACAGATGTAATGACAATTACAACTTTTAAATAAAGTCTGCTGTCTTTATGATTGCAGACTGCGAGTAATATTTATATAATGTATTTATTGATATAATACATTACTCTCTTATTGTTATTGTTTTTTTCAATTTTTCACCTCGTACATAAATTTACCTGTTCCCATTTATAACATGTACAAGTTTATTGGACTTTGTAATGAACAAGAATGCTTCTTCTAAGTTTGGTCAATGTTGACGATCACACAGCGGCGAAAGGAAAGAGGTTATTTACAGTGTTCTTTTTAAAGTAATTTGTAAGATGAAAAAAAAAGAAAATAAAAACTGTTGAGGAGTTTCAGTTTGTGAAATCTTTAAGGGCGTAAAGGATATATGTCTTAAAGTTATCTAGTGTAGTGGATTGAACAGCTGCTACAGGCAGGAGGTTTCATTGTGTGATTGTACAGCTGTTACAGGGAGGAGGTGTCATTGTGTGATTGTACAGCTGTTACAGGGAGGAGGTGTCATTGTGTGATTGTACTGTTGTTACAGGGAGGAGGTGTCATTGTGTGATTGTACTGTTGTTACAGGGAGGAGGTGTCATTGTGTGATTGTACTGTTGTTACAGGGAGGAGGTGTCATTGTGTGATTGTACTGTTGTTACAGGGAGGAGGTTTCATGGTGTGATTGTACAGCTGTTACAGGGAGGAGGTTTGTATTGTTGTTACAGGGAGGAGGTTTTTACTGTTGTTACAGGGAGGAGGTTTCATTGTGTGATTGTACTGTTGTTACAGGGAGGAGGTTTCATTGTGTAATTGTACTGTTGTTACAGGGAGGTTTCATTGTGTGATTGTACAGCTGTTACAGGGAGGAGGTTTCATTGTGTGATTGTACTGTTGTTACAGGGAGGAGGTTTCATTGTGTGATTGTACAGCTGTTACAGGGAGGAGGTGTCATTGTGTGATTGTACAGCTGTTACAGGGAGGAGGTGTCATTGTGTGATTGTACAGGTGTTACAGGGAGGAGGTGTAATTGTGTGATTGTAAATGTGATACAGTGAGGATGTGTCATTGTGTGATTGTACTGTTGTTACAGGGAGGAGGTTTCATTGTGTAATTGTACAGCTGTTACATGGAGGAGGTGTCATTGTGTGATTGTACTGTTGTTACAGGGAGGAGGTGTCATTGTGTGATTGTACTGTTGTTACAGGGAGGAGGTGTCATTGTGTAATTGTACTGTGTGATTGTACTGTTGTTACAGGGAGGAGGTGTCATTGTGTGATTGTACTGTTGTTACAGGGAGGAGGTGTCATTGTGTGATTGTACTGTTGTTACAGGGAGGTTTCATTGTGTAATTGTACAGCTGTTACAGGGAGGAGGTTTCATTGTGTGATTGTACTGTTGTTACAGGGAGGAGGTTTCATTGTGTGATTGTACTGATGTCATTGTGTGATTGTACTGTTGTTACAGGGAGGAGGTGTCATTGTGTGATTGTACTGTTGTTACAGGGAGGAGGTGTCATTGTGTGATTGTACTGTTGTTACAGGGAGGAGGTTTCATTGTCATGTCATTGTGTGATTGTACTGTTGTTACAGGGAGGAGGTGTCATTGTGTGATTGTACTGTTGTTACAGGGAGGAGGTTTCATTGTGTGATTGTACTGTTGTTACAGGGAGGAGGTGTCATTGTGTGATTGTACTGTTGTTACAGGGAGGAGGTTTCATTGTGTGATTGTACTGTTGTTACAGGGAGGAGGTGTCATTGTGTGATTGTACTGTTGTTACAGGGAGGAGGTTTCATTGTGTAATTGTACAGCTGTTACAGGGAGGAGGTGTCATTGTGTGATTGTACTGTTGTTACAGGGAGGAGGTGTCATTGTGTGATTGTACAGCTGTTACAGGGAGGAGGTTTCATTGTGTGATTGTACAGCTGTTACAGGGAGGAGGTGTCATTGTGTGATTGTACAGCTGTTACAGGGAGGAGGTTTCATGGTGTGATTGTACTGTTGTTACAGGGAGGAGGTTTCATTGTGTGATTGTACAGCTGTTACAGGGAGGAGGTTTCATTGTGTGATTGTACTGTTGTTACAGGGAGGAGGTTTCATTGTGTGATTGTACTGTTGTTACAGGGAGGAGGTTTCATTGTGTGATTGTACTGTTGTTACAGGGAGGAGGTTTCATTGTGTGATTGTACTGTTGTTACAGGGAGGAGGTGTCATTGTGTGATTGTACAGCTGCTACAGGGAGGAGGTGTCATTGTGTGATTGTACAGCTGTTACAGGGAGGAGGTGTCATTGTGTGATTGTACTGTTGTTACAGGGAGGAGGTTTCATTGTGTGATTGTACTGTTGTTACAGGGAGGAGGTGTCATTGTGTGATTGTACTGTTGTTACAGGGAGGAGGTTTCATTGTGTGATTGTACTGCTGTTACAGGGAGGAGGTGTCATTGTGTGATTGTACTGTTGTTACAGGGAGGAGGTTTCATTGTGTGATTGTACTGTTGTTACAGGGAGGAGGTTTGTACTGTTGTTACAGGGAGGAGGTTTGTGTGATTGTACTGTTGTTACAGGGAGGAGGTTTCATTGTGTGATTGTACAGCTGTTACAGGGAGGAGGTGTCATTGTGTGATTGTACTGTTGTTACAGGGAGGAGGTGTCATTGTGTGATTGTACTGTTGTTACAGGGAGGAGGTTTCATTGTGTGATTGTACTGTTGTTACAGGGAGGAGGTGCCATTGTGTGATTGTACTGTTGTTACAGGGAGGAGGTGTCATTGTGTGATTGTACTGTTGGAACAGGGAGGAGGTGTCATTGTGTGATTGTACTGTTGTTACAGGGAGGAGGTGTCATTGTGTGATTGTACTGTTGTTACAGGGAGGAGGTGTCATTGTGTGATTGTACAGCTGTTACAGGGAGGAGGTGTCATTGTGTGATTGTACAGCTGTTACAGGGAGGAGGTGTCATTGTGTGATTGTACAGCTGTTACAGGGAGGAGGTGTCATTGTGTGATTGTACAGCTGTTACAGGGAGGAGGTGTCATTGTGTGATTGTACTGTTGTTACAGGGAGGAGGTGTCATTGTGTGATTGTACAGCTGTTACAGGGAGGAGGTGTCATTGTGTGATTGTACAGCTGTTACAGGGAGGAGGTGCCATTGTGTGATTGTACAGCTGTTACAGGGAGGAGGTGTCATTGTGTGATTGTACAGCTGTTACAGGGAGGAGGTGTCATTGTGTGATTGTACAGCTGTTACAGGGAGGAGGTGTCATTGTGTGATTGTACTGTTGTTACAGGGAGGAGGTGTCATTGTGTGATTGTACTGTTGTTACAGGGAGGAGGTTTCATTGTGTGATTGTACTGTTGTTACAGGGAGGAGGTGTCATTGTGTGATTGTACTGTTGTTACAGGGAGGAGGTGTCATTGTGTGATTGTACAGCTGTTACAGGGAGGAGGTGTCATTGTGTGATTGTACAGCTGTTACAGGGAGGAGGTGTCATTGTGTGATTGTACAGCTGTTACAGGGAGGAGGTGTCATTGTGTGATTGTACTGTTGTTACAGGGAGGAGGTTTCATTGTGTGATTGTACTGTTGTTACAGGGAGGAGGTTTCATTGTGTGATTGTACTGTTGTTACAGGGAGGAGGTTTCATTGTGTGATTGTACAGCTGTTACAGGGAGGAGGTGTCATTGTGTGATTGTACTGTTGTTACAGGGAGGAGGTGTCATTGTGTGATTGTACAGCTGTTACAGGGAGGAGGTGTCATTGTGTGATTGTACTGTTGTTACAGGGAGGAGGTGTCATTGTGTGATTGTACTGTTGTTACAGGGAGGAGGTTTCATTGTGTGATTGTACTGTTGTTACAGGGAGGAGGTTTCATTGTGTGATTGTTGTTACAGGGAGGAGGTGTCATTGTGTGATTGTACTGTTGTTACAGGGAGGAGGTGTCATTGTGTGATTGTACTGTTGTTACAGGGAGGAGGTGTCATTGTGTGATTGTACTGTTGTTACAGGGAGGAGGTGTCATTGTGTGATTGTACTGTTGGAACAGGGAGGAGGTTTCATTGTGTGACTGTATGTGGGAAGAAAAAGTATTGATATGTACCATTTATAGGAGATATATGTCTATATGTGCTGTGGTGTAGATGTCTAGCTCTTAATGAACTGATAGTTAGTAACTTGTGTAAGTTGTGTTTAAACACTGTTTTATATGTATAATAACCTGATTGACAACCTTGGCTCGTATTCCGTAATATCGGACATAAAGCTGTCAGCTTTGCATATGTATTGGAATGTTAATTTTTGTTATTACTGATTTTACGGAAAAGGGAAATGCTTATCTAATAAAAAGAATGTATGAATAAAGTCTTTAACAAAATATATAGGCTATAAACATTGATAAAAAATCTTCAAAAATAAATAAAAGTTTTCCTTTCAGAGTTACAGAAATTGCTGAGAGGCCCATCTATCATCTTTACCTTATAAGGTGAAAGACTATGTCGTTTTAGTCGGATTTGTAAAGCTGGTGCATATATGTCTAACCAGTTTCATTAATAAAATCAGAATGTTCTCACCCACTGTTTTCTTTTCTCTTTGCTATTGAGAATTTTCGTTCTGTTTAACATAAATGATTTAGAACCTTCACTTTTTTTAAGCAATGTTGACTTGCCTTGGTAGAAAAAAGGGTAAACACTGCGGAGACTATTCTGTTCAGAAAATCAATATAAATATTTATATTTAAATGAATTTGTCATGAAAATATCTTATTAAAGTCACCAATATTACATAAACTGCCTTTCTCTACATAGAAATATTATAACCGCTAAAAAGTATCTTATCATTGTGCCTTTTAAGTGTTTGCCGGAAAATGTCAAAACATTGAAATCATAATGAATTTTAAACAGTTATCGAAAGAAAATCCAAGTGTTGCAGTTTTAATGTAGTTAGGAGAGGAGCAGATATTACACCAAATCGAGACCCTTCGGCTGTGGTCGCGGAAGAGACGATGTATTTCTCGTTCACGGAAAGTGACAACAGTTCCCGAAGCTTAAACCGGAAATCACGTACATCGGAGAACAAACGTGCTCTAATCTTGAATGGTTCAAATCGTAATTTTCAATGAGATGTTTGTTATATGCGTTTCAAACCATTAACAAATTCACTGGGAGTGAAGTTGGGCCATATCATTAAGGACAGCAGGGACGTATATATGTGATGTCCCTGAGGACAGTAAAGGTATGCATATAACAAAGAGTTATCTTAATCGCACAATTTCTTGAAAGTCAGGTAATATCCCCAAATTCGTAACATCTTTCGCATAAAAAACAACTTACTTACATATCTGGTCTGAAACTCGTGTCAGAAGTTCTCTATCCGTTCCTCATTGAATTGTCTTATGTATATATACCTGAATAACATCCACGTAATCCAAACCCAGCCGCTGTAAGCTTTCGTCTACACTTTGTATGGTCCTCTCCGCCCGGAAGTCAAACATCTTCTCCGCTTCTGGTAAGTACCTTCCAACTTTTGTCGTGATGTAATACGCATCTCTTGGAACACCTTGTAGGCCCTGTACACAATGGTATCACTTTTGGTAACGAATATCTTCGTAAAAATAGATATTAATTCGTTAAGTATTTCATTTGTCTACAAAATTAGCGAAAACTATACAACGAAGTTTACATTATCAAACATTTTCGCTGCAAAAATTTGCCATCCCAAAGAAAATCAATTGTATATGAACGTGAATATATTTAGCATTCCCACCTTTTTTTATTATCAATATTATTATTTTTATTATCGCCACCTGGGTTAGGACTTTTTATCATAAACTTAGTACTTACCTGACCAAGCACTGTCTCTGCTTTACCATGGCCATACCAAGGAGCTACGTCTATATAATTGATGCCATTTTTTATCACGTATTTGACGACCTGGTACGATTCGGAATTATCCGTCTGACGAAAGACACTGCCGAGAGCTGAAGCACCTGTTCGTATAGAGTTATAGCTGTATAATCAGATATGTGTACTACATCGCACTATGACATTTCGCTAAAATTGAAAAAAAGAAAGGATTTGTGTAAAGTTAAGGAAACACGTGAGGCCTTGGCAGACGAAGTACAGATATGATCCAAATATTCTTTGTTTAGATAAAGCTCCTTTAAGTGGAATCTTTTTATGATTCTACACCGACTAATAATCCTTGTATCATCTGTTTGTGTTGTTATATTCATCACAGCAGCTGCTATGTCTCTATTTCTCTCGTTCATGTTTTATTTCTACTGTCTCTACAACACCCCCAATGTTCTAGTCCGTTGTCAAAACGGAGGAAGGGAGAGGGGGCAACCAGTTTTGTATGATAATCAAATATAACCGCAGAAGGTTAGCACAGAAAACCTAGAATATATCTTGTATGTAAAATTCTTATGAATATCGTGTTTAGGTGATAGAATGTTTATTAATTCCATTCATGACAGCAGGGACGTATTATACCGTATTATACGTCCCTGATGACATACATAATTACTGACACGTTTTGGTTTATTCAGAGACAGAAAACAGCGCCACACATCCGCTCCCATGACATGCACTTTAAAAGAATTTGGAAAACAGTATGTCAAACACGATCGCTTAAAACACTAAACAAACAATATGTAACCAAGTTTCTGGCACAAATAGTCCTTCTATGTTCGGAATTGTTCATCTTACATCTTATATGTGACCTTCGGTAGTTTTGTACACCACCAGATTTCGTATACGTGACCTTCAGTAGTTTTGTACACCACCAGATTTTGTATACGTGACCTTCAGTAGTTTTGTACACCACCAGATTTCGTATACGTGACCTTCAGTAGTTTTGTACACCACCAGATTTGGTATACGTGACCTTCGGTAGTTTTGTACACCAGATTTGGTATACGTGACCTTCGGTAGTTTTGTACACCAGATTTGGTATACGTGACCTTCGGTAGTTTTGTACACCACCAGATTTGGTATACGTGACCTTCGGTAGTTTTGTACACCACCAGATTTTGTATACGTGACCTTCGGTAGTTTTGTACACCAGCAGATTTGGTATACGTGACCTTCGGTAGTTTTGTACACCAGCAGATTTGGTATACGTCACCTTCTGTAGTTTTGTACACCAGATTTTGTATACGTGACCTTCGGTAGTTTTGTACACCACCAGATTTGGTATACGTGACCTTCGGTAGTTTTGTACACCACCAGATTTGGTATACGTGACCTTCGGTAGTTTTGTACACCAGATTTGGTATACGTGACCTTCGGTAGTTTTGTACACCAGATTTGGTATACGTGACCTTCAGTAGTTTTGTACACCACCAGATTTTGTATACGTGACCTTCGGTAGTTTTGTACACCACCAGATTTCGTATACGTGACCTTCGGTAGTTTTGTACACCAGATTTGGTATACGTGACCTTCGGTAGTTTTGTACACCACCAGATTTCGTATACGTGACCTTCAGTAGTTTTGTACACCGCCAGATTTTGTATACGTGACCTTCGGTAGTTTTGTACACCAGCAGATTTGGTATACGTGACCTTCGGTAGTTTTGTACACCAGCAGATTTGGTATACGTCACGTTCGGTAGTTTTGTACACCAGCAGATTTGTTATACGTGAACTTCGGTAGTTTTGTACACCACCAGATTTGGTATACGTGACCTTCGGTAGTTTTGAACACCAGATTTGGTATACGTGAGTTTTGTACACCAGATTTGGTATACGTGACCTTCGGTAGTTTTGTACACCACCAGATTTGGTATACGTGACCTTCGGTAGTTTTGTACACCAGATTTGGTATACGTGACCTTCGGTAGTTTTGTACACCACCAGATTTGTTATACGTGACCTTCGGTAGTTTTGTACACCAGATTTGGTATACGTGACCTTCGGTAGTTTTGTACACCATATTTGGTATACTTGACCTTCGGTAGTTTTGTACACCAGATTTGGTATACGTGACCTTCGGTAGTTTTGTACACCAGATTTGGTATACGTGACCTTCGGTAGTTTTGTACACCACCAGATTTGGTATACGTGACCTTCGGTAGTTTTGTACACCAGATTTGGTATACGTGACCTTCGGTAGTTTTGTACACCGCCAGATTTCGTATACGTGACCTTCAGTAGTTTTGTACACCAGCAGATTTGATATACGTGACCTTCGGTAATTTTGTACACCAGATTTGGTATACGTGACCTTCGGTAGTTTTGTACACCACCAGATTTTGAATACGTGACCTTCGGTAGTTTTGTACACCAGATTTGGTATACGTGACCTTCGGTAGTTTTGTACACCAGATTTGGTATACGTGACCTTCGGTAGTTTTGTACACCAGATTTGGTATACGTGACCTTCGGTAGTTTTGTACACCAGATTTGGTATACGTGACCTTCGGTAGTTTTGTACACCACCAGATTTGGTATACGTGACCTTCGGTAGTTTTGTACACCAGATTTGGTATACGTGACCTTCGGTAGTTTTGTACACCAGATTTGGTATACGTGACCTTCGGTAGTTTTGTACACCAGATTTGGTATACGTGACCTTCGGTAGTTTTGTACACCAGATTTGGTATACGTGACCTTCGGTAGTTTTGTACACCAGATTTGGTATACGTGACCTTCGGTAGTTTTGTACCTTTGGTATACGGTAGTTTTGTACACCAGATTTGGTATACGTGACCTTCGGTAGTTTTGTACAACCAGATTTGGTATACGTGACCTTCGGTAGTTTTGTACACCACCAGATTTGGTATACGTGACCTTCGGTAGTTTTGTACACCAGATTTGGTATACGTGACCTTCGGTAGTTTTGTACACCACCAGATTTGGTATACGTGACCTTCTGTAGTTTTGTACACCATCATTACGTGACCTTCGGTAGTTTTGTACACCATCAGATTTGGTATACGTGACCTTCGGTAGTTTTGTACACCAGATTTGGTATACGTGACCTTCGGTAGTTTTGTACACCAGATTTGGTATGCACCAGATTTGGTATGCGTGACCTTCGGTAGTTTTGTACACCACCAGATTTGGTATACGTGACCTTCGGTAGTTTTGTACACCAGATTTTGTATACGTGACCTTCGGTAGTTTTGTACACCATATTTGGTATACTTGTACACCATATTTGGTATACGTGACCTTCGGTAGTTTTGTACACCAGATTTGGTATACGTGACCTTCGGTAGTTTTGTACACCACCAGATTTGGTATACGTGACCTTCGGTAGTTTTGTACACCACCAGATTTGGTATACGTGACCTTCGGTAGTTTTGTACACCAGATTTGGTATACGTGACCTTCGGTAGTTTTGTACACCATATTTGGTATACGTGACCTTCGGTAGTTTTGTACACCACCAGATTTGGTATACGTGACCTTCGGTAGTTTTGTACACCAGATTTGGTATACGTGACCTTCGGTAGTTTTGTACACCACCAGATTTGGTATACGTGACCTTCGGTAGTTTTGTACACCATATTTGGTATACGTGACCTTCGGTAGTTTTGTACACCAGATTTGGTATACGTGACCTTCGGTAGTTTTGTACACCATATTTGGTATACGTGACCTTCGGTAGTTTTGTACACCAGATTTAGTATACGAGACCTTCGGTAGTTTTGTACACCACCAGATTTGGTATACGTGACCTTCAGTAGTTTTGTACACCACCAGATTTAGTATACGTGACCTTCGGTAGTTTTGTACACCACCAGATTTGGTATACGTGACCTTCGGTAGTTTTGTACACCAGATTTGGTATACGTGACCTTCGGTAGTTTTGTACACCAGATTTGGTATACGTGACCTTCGGTAGTTTTGTACACCACCAGATTTAGTATACGTGACCTTCGGTAGTTTTGTACATTGGTACACCATATTTGGTATACGTGACCTTCGGTAGTTTTGTACACCAGATTTGGTATACGTGACCTTCGGTAGTTTTGTACACCAGATTTGGTATACGTGACCTTCGGTAGTTTTGTACACCATATTTGGTATACGTGACCTTCGGTAGTTTTGTACACCAGATTTGGTATACGTGACCTTCGGTAGTTTTGTACACCACCAGATTTGGTATACGTGACCTTCGGTAGTTTTGTACACCACCAGATTTTGTATACGTGACCTTCGGTAGTTTTGTACACCAGATTTGGTATACGTGACCTTCAGTAGTTTTGTACACCAGATTTGGTATACGTGACCTTCAGTAGTTTTGTACATTAGCAGATTTTGTATACGTGACCTTCGGTAGTTTTGTACACCAGATTTGGTATACGTGACCTTCGGTAGTTTTGTACACCACCAGATTTGGTATACGTGACCTTCGGTAGTTTTGTACACCAGATTTTGTATACGTGACCTTCGGTAGTTTTGTACACCAGATTTGGTATACGTGACCTTCGGTAGTTTTGTACACCAGATTTGGTATACGTGACCTTCGGTAGTTTTGTACACCAGATTTGGTATACGTGACCTTCGGTAGTTTTGTACACCAGATTTGGTATACGTGACCTTCGGTAGTTTTGTACACCAGATTTGGTATACGTGACCTTCGGTAGTTTTGTACACCAGATTTGGTATACGTTTGGTATACGTGACCTTCGGTAGTTTTGTACACCAGATTTTGTACACCACACCACCATTTTGGTATACGTGACCTTCGGTAGTTTTGTACACCAGATTTGGTATTGGTAGTTTTGTACACCACCAGATTTGGTATACGTGACCTTCGGTAGTTTTGTACACCACCAGATTTGGTATACGTGACCTTCGGTAGTTTTGTACACCAGATTTGGTATACGTGACCTTCGGTAGTTTTGTACACCACCAGATTTGGTATACGTGACCTTCGGTAGTTTTGTACACCAGATTTGGTATACGTGACCTTCGGTAGTTTTGTACACCAGATTTGGTATACGTGACCTTCGGTAGTTTTGTACACCAGATTTGGTATACGTGACCTTCGGTAGTTTTGTACACCAGATTTGGTATACGTGACCTTCGGTAGTTTTGTACACCAGATTTGGTATACGTGACCTTCGGTAGTTTTGTACACCAGATTTGGTATACGTGACCTTCGGTAGTTTTGTACACCAGATTTGGTATACGTGACCTTCGGTAGTTTTGTACACCAGATTTGGTATACGTGACCTTCGGTAGTTTTGTACACCAGATTTGGTATACGTGACCTTCGGTAGTTTTGTACACCAGTTTTGTACACCAGATTTGGTATACGTGACCTTCGGTAGTTTTGTACACCAGATTTGGTATACGTGACCTTCGGTAGTTTTGTACACCAGATTTGGTATACGTGACCTTCGGTAGTTTTGTACACCATATTTGGTATACGTGACCTTCGGTAGTTTTGTACACCATATTTGGTATACGTGACCTTCGGTAGTTTTGTACACCAGATTTGGTATACGTGACCTTCGGTAGTTTTGTACACCACCAGATTTTGTATACGTGACCTTCGGTAGTTTTGTACACCAGATTTGGTATACGTGACCTTCGGTAGTTTTGTACACCACCAGATTTGGTATACGTGACCTTCGGTAGTTTTGTACACCATATTTGGTATACGTGACCTTCAGTAGTTTTGTTTCCTGGAAACATTATATTACACTAATAAATGATCCTAGATTTGGCGACCTAACTCATTATAACTTATCCTCATTATCAAACCATCACTCGAATTGTGTTCTCTTATATTCAAGCCATATATGTCAAAAGTATTGGGCTTTCACAAGCGTGCCATAGTCTCGCCTGCTCATAACGTAAAGGAGTTTTCCCTCTTCAAAAACAAATGGAGAAAAATCCATGGTTATAACAAAGACCACAGCTAGACTTAATTCTCACAATGTTATTTCCTACTATTACGCCTGGCAGAACGTCCGATATGAATATTTATCTGATTTAAAACCGATAATCGATAATTCTGATACAAGACTCACCAAAACTGATGACGGAAGGCTTCATTCCAGTGTTACCCAATGGGTTGTACGTCATCTTCAGGACAGCATCTTTATCATGGAAACCGTCCACATAGGTCACGGGAAGGTTAGAACTAACAAATATATGATTATTTCACAATATACTGCCATGTATATCACGTCAATCGCACGTGATGTGACGTCATCGCATAAGACCTTTGTCATGAACGTCGGTTTAACTAGCTATAAGAGTCGAGCCACCTCCAGGAGAGATAAAATACAAACACTTGAAGGTAAAGAAGCAATGTTGTGTATCAAGGCAAAGGAAGAAGTGAAAGGAGAAAAAGTTCGAGAAGAAAAGAAAGTTCCGGGAGCAATATTTCCATGTCATAAGTACCTTATTTGATTACCAAAGAAGGATTTCGATAATCTGGAAGCTATGTTGTTGGAACGTGAACGCTGTCAGAAACGAGTCTGCTTAAATCGTTTATGGCAAAAAGAGAACGAATATACACTTGTCATGCCTTACTTGAAAGATATTCTTCTTTCTATGGATTTTTCAACAGGCACAATACCATGAATAGATTTAAAGTTATTAATACTATTAGGAAATTAGTAGCACTTTAATATGTTCCTACTTCTTTACCTTTCATTACAATACGGCCTGTGCTGATGTTGGTCTGTCCTTGGGCAAGAAACTTTACCTTAATTGCTCTGTATGACATGCGATGGGTCTCCCATATGTTGTTCAGTGAGGTAACCACCAACAACTAAGAGGCGACCCCGCCTTAAAATTACCCTGGCTTTTTCATGAGGTGTAAACCCCTACAAACACAGGTTATATGTAATGTTATCCGTTATTATTGAGGCGGGTGTCTGTGGTAAGATCACTGAAAATATTGAACAGTCTCTGAAGACGTGATATCAGATAAAAGAGTGAATGGATTAAAAACAAGCTCGATACACACAGGGAAATCTAAGAAATATCGTACAACTATAGAGATATATTTAGTATCCGCAACCACGTGCCACTGGAAGTGCCGATTCTACTGGATAACATGTCGAAATGCAAAAATGCAGCCAAAATCGGCAAATACAACCTCTTCTGTTTTGTTGATGTAGGAAAAATTTCCAATGTTCGTTATCAAAGTGGCTTCGATCAAATTTTGGTTAAACTAACATGAAACAAATTTTCAGTATTCAATAATACTTAGGAATAACAAAGAAATAAATTAGGATTTAATAAATATATGTGGAATATGATTCGTCGGCGACATCAATGAACTAAACTAACGACAGTATACCATGTGAATGGCACGCGGTCGCCTTTTACAGCTTGACACTTCAGGAATGTTGGGTTAGGTACGGTTCGAATTATCCGGGCGTTTTATCGTCTATATTATGTCGTTCTAGTGAGACGACTTAAGACCGATATAAAAATATCAGTAGAATATGCCTAACTTTGTTAACTATAGCAATACATTTATGAATAGATGATAAATGTTTCAATATTATTTTTAATCTAATGTAAAACTCAACGTGCTCAGAGAGAGTGCACGAGGCTGTTTTTAAATGTAGGAAGCTAATTTACATTTTTTAAAAATCACACCAGCGAACATACACATTTTCTTAATCGGGTAAACGAAAAGATGTAAGTAACGTGGCCTTATTAATGTATACTCGGTGTGGCAGAACAGCCGCAGTGATGCATATAGCCACGGACATCACACGATAAAAATATGTATCTCACAGTGACAAGGCAACACAAGCTAAGTCCAGAATGGTGTATATAAATATATATGAAAAATGCGTATATAGATTGATGTGTATATATATATGTGGAAAAAAATGCTTATACAAAGTTCGTTTTCAATCAAATCCAGTATTTACGACACCTTTGACTCTAAATCATGGCTTTCTTGCTGAAACAATGCTGTATGCCAAAGACTTAAAATAAGAAAGTATCTATAAAACAATTTTGACGTATTAAGTTGCCCATGCTTCAAAGTATGCATCATGTTGCTCGTTACGCCCCCTCTTGGCAAATTAGCTGTATCCAGCATCATCCACCATCAACAATGTCCTTTACTTTTTGTTAACTTAATGGTACACCAAACTTACTTACCTGGCATCTACCATGTTGTATCATCCGATGTGTGCTATGAGGACTGTCAGGATATTTTGAAACGATGTATGCGACAGCGATGTGACGTGGTAGGCTGCTCTTTGTCCTCGCCGTAATGCAAGGGAAATAACTCTAAATCGTTGACATACCAAATAGATACGTATTAGTTAATGAGTGTGTTAACAGACGAGCCTGGTACCTGTGATAAACCAGAGACTGGACCTCGCATGTAGAATATTCAAATACATTTGTATTTATTTCTGTTAATAACTGAGCTTTATAAGTATGGTCTCGTGGCCGTTATGTCTGATTATAACTTGGCGATTCTCGTGTTACAAACAAAAAAAGGACTAGATGTAGCCAGTTAAAGAATAACAGACATTAAGTGACATCAGTGATGTTAATACATGGAAAACTTATATATATTTATATGCTACAGTCATATGTTAAATGGTGAATATAATAATAATCCGAGAGAGACAAAGAATTAGAATCTTTTTGTGTCACGGCGTGTGAAGAATGTTTTTTTCTAGATGAGTAAGTATAATTTCGTTATATTTGTCAGTTAGATCTGACATACCAGATTGTTCTGCATACAAGTTTACAAGTTACGATAAAAATATAATGGAAAGCATCTTTAAAAGTGAAGTTACCAACACGTTGTTGGTTATCAAAAGTCAGTTTACGAGAACTAGATTCGTTTCTTAATCTGTGATGCAAAATGTTGTTGGTTATCAAAAGTCATGTTTACGAGAACTAGATTCGTTTCTTAATCCGTGACGCAAGATGTTGTTGGTTATCAAAAGTCATGTTTACGAGAACTAGATTCGTTTCTTAATCTGTGATGCAAGATGTCTTTTTTCTGTCACCAAGCAGAAATAATGTGGTCGATTAGAAACGCCCTTTTTATGCAGCGTATCTTTAAATGTGGCGTAAGTCTTAATGTCTGTCTGATGTCAACATGTAACCGGTTACAATGTATTATAGTAGATGAGAAGAAAGAAATGTTAGTTGATAGGAAGCGTCTATAGTCAAGAGTTACTTCTCTATTATGTATTTTGAAGAACAGGTCTATTTTGCATCTGAATCTACGGTCAGATAATGGATCCTGATTCAGAATAAATTAACTTAGTGACTCGCAAAAATAGTACATGGGAGAGTTCACTGGATACTTATATTTAACGTGGCTAATGCTTATTTTGACCACTGAAAATATCCGTGTTTCTGGTTTCCCGACCATCCCTATTTTTCGTTACCGACACTGTTTTTTCCCAATATTTTGACAGATACTAAAAAAACCTCTCTAAAATTTCCGAGTTGATTTTGTTCATGTTCTGTTTGCTGGCGATCCCCAGAAGTACTAGTGCAATGAGGTCAATTTACACAAATACTCCAGTGACATATCTTATTTGTTATAGGCCGATATCAAACATCGAAAATAACAATTGGGTGACGAAAAAAAAATAATGGATTTTGGAAGTTGTCAACATTTTTCAATGCATGACTTGAGTCTGATTCTAATTCCTCGTAAATATTTCATGTTGAAACTCACATGAAAATAAGAGTATCAGTGATATTGACGAATGCACCCGAAAAAGACTTTGACGCAACATTTTAACGAAGGGCAATAACTCTGTAATTGCGGGGTCAAAAGCCCTGAATTTGGTACATTATACATTCTCTTTGGTATGATCAATTTATCCACAAATTTTCATTATCCTAATTAATATGCAAGTAATTTAAATCATGCTCTGGACACAAGGGGCAATAACACTATTACTTAGGGCTAACGGGCCCTAACATTGCTACACTGCGCATCGTCTTGGTTTGATCAATGTATACATCAAGTTTCATGACCGACCTTGCTAAACTGTGGGCAATTTATGTTCCGGACACGAAAGGACGGATGGATGGAAGGACAAGGCTGCGATTATTTGTTCCCCAGAAAAGCATAAAATGTAGAGACCACAATGGCAAGTTTTTATTATCGTGAAAATTATATATATATGTCCTCACAAACAATTTAGGGGAAGGTTATATAGGAATCACTTTGTTTGCCTAACCACGTGTCAGGAAGAGACTCGGCACATAGTACGGCTTAGGCTAGGCTAGGCCTATCATTTTCATAACATTTTGACAATGGTTTCAGCGACATATTGTGATGGTAAACATCTCACTATACACATACATGAGACACTTATCTATAACATAAACCGGACACATGGTTATGAGAAATACACTAATCATTGTACGGTACTCGAAGAAGTCAGTATCAAAAACAGACAAACATTAATTTCTTTAAAATCCCTTCCTAACGACCCGATATATATATATTGCCTTATAAAACTTCAGTGACTCGAAAACAAAACCTAGTAACATGTTTTGTCGCGTTAAAGTTGCTGTTAAAAATGCATTGCATCATTTAAATAAAACATGTTTACCTAGTTCATATAGTTTTTGGTACAACAGTAATAAAAAGAGCTACCAGTGCAGTTTCAAATTAACCGCCATTTTCCCCTCTACTGTTACAGATAGGGTACAACGCGGTTTCATTACGTTGACCCCTATTGCCTAGGAATTGACGTGGCATGCAACGAACTCTCTTTCCACGTCCGCCATTTTGTGTTGTCTCAGTACTGTCAAACCACGCGACTGGGCGACATTATATTGTTCATGTCTGTATGAACGCCTTTAAGACACGGACATTCAGAGGGAGTTGAAACTCTTTTAGGAACAGGTAAAATGACTTTGAAATGATGAAATTATCACAGTAATATCGTTTAATTTGGCATAGCTTCCGGTTTTGTGCTATTTCGACAATCGAGGGTGTGGAAATTTATCCTTTTGTCTTCAGTTAAGGTAAAATGTTTAGGCCTAGTAATTATCGTGTGAAATTTGGTATGAATTATATTGAACCTTTATATAATTACTCAAACAGGAGTGAAATACGTCTGCGTCTGGCTTATTGGCGGACATGAATAAAGTGCTGGACAAAAACCGGCGTAATGATTTTCAAATGACAAAACTGGGAGACAGGAATGATTGTTGTAGGGTGTTGTTATACCGCATGATGATATTGGATTTATGTCAGTGAAATTAATATGATATGTATTTCTTATCCAGAACTTTAATCACGCAATTGAAACCTATTCAGTGGTCTGATTTTCAGTTTACTTTAGGCCTTGAGGACGAAATATTTTGTGACAATGCAGAATATGAAAAGGTGGTTTTGTAAACCATGAATCAACACTTATTTTTAAGCGTCTTTATCCAAAACATGTCATGTACACGGACATTTAACTGATCAAAATATCAAATACTGATTAAAATATCAATCATGGCGTTATGGAATGGAAGCAGTGTAAGTAAATGTGGGAGTAATATTGGATGATGTGTTGAATCAAATATGTGGGCTTTCTGTGTACAGGACTGTAGACGCATTTACGCGTTGAATTCTACCTGAATGGTATGAAATATTTCATTAATATGTTAACTTTAAATTCAGAGAGAGCCAAATTAAGATAAATGAAAAAATATATACAAAATCAACTACCATGTGAAAAGCATGTAATGACATGTTATGTTCCTTGAAAAAAATGGGGGGGGGGGGGGGGGGGTGCTAAGGAAAAACTGCCCAATACAATTATTTCGGCCTCCTTCATGTACTACAGATACAAGGGAGCCATTTTATTTTATTTTTGATTTCAATGTAGTCGACCATATTTGCTTCTGATGTAGATGCATATCTGGAGTTTCACCCCTTACAGTTCCTGAATGGAATATACAAGACAATTTTTCTTATCTGAATTCTTTTTATATAATAAGACCTGTCAGCCTGATTAAAGTCATATGGTAAACTATATATTAAACTTTGCTGCATTTGATTTATATCCTGTAAAAAAATATTTGACCAATAATGTAAACCATGTTATATGTACATGGCTTTGAGGTATTATAGTGAACATATGAATACAGTACATAGCTTTTTAAATTGATAAATTTGTCTATGATGTCTGATTTGTGAACAGTCCCAGAAAAATGGTTTTAAAATGTTATCCTCGCAATTAATCGAAGGAAACAAAACTACTTGCAACGTCATTTTTTGTCAGCTGAAATAATGAAAGCTAGTTACTGTACATAGGCATACTGAGTTTGGGCTTATAAATTTGTATTAAAATGTGAAATTACATGTATGAATTCTTTAATTCATCTGTCAAGTTCCTTGGTATTAAGGCTGTTTAATTGAGTTTTCTCCCTTTCATTGCTTATCTAATTGATTGTCAATAGATTACTAATCATCCAAATTCCATGTGGTGTCCTCTCCAAAAAAACGTTATGGTCCTGATGTTTTTTATTTGCTTCTGAAGGACCTGTATTATGATAAGGTCTTGGATTTTACACTTTGCCTCAGATAACTGAATATTGGGTGTTTTAACATTGGTCACTGTGGCAGCAACTTAAAGGATTCAAAATAGCTTTGACAAAGGCTAATACATGTCTCACAAAATTTGACCCTCTTGTGCTTTTGATAAATATTGTGTTGCTATTTATATATATTATTGTTATGTGTTTACGTCTTCTGAAATATTTGAATGAAATTGTTATCTATATATACAGTGCCCATTCCTGCGAAACAAAAAAGTCGAGATTATTGCACGGTTTTCTGTATTTGCACGCATGTGCCTGGCCAAGTTCGCTTGATCTAGCTGAGAAACGTTTACGCTACATCCGAATACGTAATTTACAGTTGATGTATTTATAGAAGACATAACTTCTCAGAATCGTTGACAACAAGCCTAAGCTGCCGTTTTCTGGACTTATTGTTAATTTTGGTAAGTACCTGTGTTTCAAAAGGGATTAATCTAGGCTATTAAGAAATGATACTAATTCTCAAACCACATTTTACAAGATAAATCCAGTAAAGATTTTTCTTGTAATCTTTTAAGTTCTTTCGAAAGAAATGACACATTTGTGTTCGAATGTAATTAGTTGGTGTTATCTATTTACATTATGTTCAACAAAAATTTTTTTTTTCATCACAATTAATACATCTAGGAATGAAGGTATTACTTTTCCCTCCTAAATTATTGTACATATTTTATACCCTGCATTTAACTTAAGTGCCTTTCTCTACAATTCCATATTTAAAAAGGGAAGTAACTCCTTCAACCTGATTAAACCTACATTAATCCCTGGAAAACAAATTAATCAATGTAGAAGAAAACTAATCTTAAATTACTTAAAACTTTTCCATAATTAACACAGCTTCCAATATGGTTTACTGAAATGTTTGATGGCTGTTCTGGAGAAAAAAGTACATTTTGATAAGGGCAGTTTCACTAGTATAAGTGATCTAAAGAATATTGTGCTGCATTTTGTTGGCTTTTAGACTGGTAGCAAACTAATATATATATTGTACATGTAATATTCAGTTGTCTGAGGCAAGAGAGGAGGTAAATCCACATTCTGACAATGGTTTACAAAAGCATGTATGAAAAGATTCCTACAACTGAATAAGGGTTCTGGGTACTTTGGTGTCTTTTCTAAATCTATTTTCTTTCAATGCTACTTGCAAATGTGATATAATAGTATAAGAAATTTTTGAAGATGAAATCTCTGGTATTTTATTCTAGAGCTTGTATAAAATGTATGTTGCTTCCTTTATGTGGTTGTGGTTTGTTTTGGTTTTCTTTAGATAATTTCTTTTAAAAAATGTTTGTTTGCTAAAATTGAGCTAAATTTTGTTGTACATGTCATGTTCATGATTTCTTAACATTTGATATCACTCACAGTTATTTTGATATAGGTTTTAAGTTATCAAAAGTGATAATATATTTACATGCAAAGTGTTAAATATAGGTAACAGGTTTTAAGCAATCAAATGTGGGAAAGAGACTTTTTATGATTTTTGGTGACTTCAATATATAATTACTAATGTAAAAGGAAATAATGCATATAGTACGTAGCTACATGTGTTTTGATTTTCTTAATTTTCCAGATCATAAATAAGGCCTTCATCTGTTGAATATATCTACTAAGAAGCAATCATGGGGAATATGTTTGCAAACGTTTTGAAAGGCCTGTTTGGCAAAAAAGAGATGAGGATATTAATGGTTGGTTTGGATGCGGCTGGTAAAACTACAATCCTGTATAAACTGAAGCTTGGAGAAATAGTTACAACAATTCCAACTATAGGTAAGTTATTTGTAACAAATCAGTCTTTTCTCCCCTGGAAAGATAGATGGACGCAATAGTCAATCTGAAATAGCAGGCCCCAGTCACACGAATCTTCCTTAACTTATGGCATTTTCCTTCATTTACAATTGCTTGCAGGAAATCATTGAATATGTTCAGGAAATTTCGATCAATATAAGTTTTTTCCAAATTCGTAATGCTTTTCTATAGCAGTTTTCCTTGGTTAAGGAAGATTCTTAAAACTGTAACAAGAAGGAAGTTGACATCTAACAGTAGGATACTCTGTAATTTCTTATGTTAACTATTTATGCTGTTAGTGAATTATTTTGTAAGACATCAGCTGAAAAGATACGTCATTCCTAGGTTTTTGGAAAGAAAGTTTGGGTCTGCTCATTAAGTTTTACTTTTGACAATGAATAATTAAGTTGTCTAGCCTAGTGATGAGTGGACAGTGCTCTCACATACCTACAATTGGCAGATGTAGTACCATTTTCTTTGCTCAATGTGTAGAGTTATTGCTCTTGATTCATACCCATGTACAAAGTTTGTACTCTTGTATAAAATTAACTATGTAAAGCATTTAACATTATTGCCATTGATATTGTGGAATAGATAACTACGTAGTTGTACCTGTATTTTTAAGGAGACAAGAGTATTTTCAAGCGTAGCACGTACCCAGTAATAATAAGTATCATTAGGAATATTCTTTTTTCAGACAACAATATCTTTTTATTCCATCTCCAGGTTTCAATGTTGAGACTGTAGAATACAAAAACATCAGCTTCACAGTGTGGGACGTTGGTGGTCAGGACAAGATTCGGCCATTGTGGAGACATTACTTCCAAAATACACAAGGTAAGACACTTCACAATACACAGGGTAAGACACTTCACTGTACACAAGGTAAGACACTTCATAATACATAGGGTAAGACAGTTCATAATACACAATGTAAGACACTTCTCTATACTGGATATAAGATGCTTTGTGATACACATGATAATAACAGGAAATAGAGGAAATGTAACACTATATGATAAAAAACAAACTTATTACTCTACAATTTACAGAGATGATTAATTGCATGATGTTTAGAGGATCTTATCTAATGGCTATTGGCAACCTTCAGCATCTGCTGGAAGATGTGTTGATGCTCTTTTTTCAATTTTTTAGAGACTTTAAGAATTAGAGAATTTCACAACCTGGGGAAGAACTTAGAAGGCACGGACTTAATGCACATTTATCTGGGCCCTCATTGATTGTGCTAATATCACTATTTATATTGTTAAATTTTCCAAATCCCAGTTTCCAGGGATAGCTCATGATCAACATGATTTTGCTCTTTCATGAAAGTTTGAGTTCATTAGTGCATTGATGATTTTTAAGTGGGTGGGGAAGGAGCATGGCTCAATAGAAAAAATAGAGCAAATTCTTTATAACCCTGTTTCTCGTGGTTTGAAGGATGTTTTGGTAAAAGGAAATCAATTTTGTATAAATGATGGGTTTTGGGGTGGGGGTGGGGGTCCTTGGGTAGGAGGAACAGGTCCCAATAAGGGAAATAGAGCAAATTCTTTTAAATCATTCTCTTCCTTTATGAATGATTTTGTCCAAATTTTGTCTGTAGCATGTTTGGGTGAAGGGGATCCAATTTTGTAAAAATGATGGGTCTTTGGGCCCCTAGGGCAGGAGGAGAGGGGCTCAATAGGGGAAATGTGTTATTATTGAAACAGCTGAGATCCCCACCCCATAACTATATATAGCAAAGATGGGCATCAAGAGAAAAACATATTCATGATGTAAGAACTGGCCATTGGGTGGGGCTCTGGACTTAATTTCTGGGTTATATCTTTGAAACCGTTGAGATCCCCACCCCATAACCATATGTAGCATTATAGGCAATAAGAGATAATTCAATTGTGATGTAAAAAATTGGCTCTGGGGTGTGCCTTCATCAAGGGACTTAGTTTCTGGGTAATAGTTTTTGAACAGTGGAGATCTCCAACCCTAAACCATATATAGCAATACTGGGCATCAAGAGATTAACATATTTATAATGCAAGAACTGATCCTTGGCGGTGTCCCCGCCCCTCTGGGCTTAATTTCTGGATAACCTATAACTATATTAATATAACCATTTTAACTCTTAATGGGCATCAATAGAGAAAGGCAGTAGTGATGTAAGAACCTGCCCATTCACCTTTGCTATCTAAGGGGTTAAGTGACTAATATCCAAGTTAGTGAAACAGGGCATTTATTACATAAAGACTTCTTTATATCAAGATACAGTCGTACTTTTCCATCATTGGAAGTCCAAAAATACATGTAATTATAGGATTCATAAAAAATTGTGAGAATTTGTTTTATTTATGACTGGACAAAAGATGTGCCTCAATTTCACTAAAAATATACATTCTTGATCTGTTATTAGGTATTCCTAGGATTACATGAAAGTTGTGTAGTGATTGTATATATCTTTTATTTTTGACAGGTTTGATATTTGTTGTGGACAGTAACGATAGAGAACGAGTAGGAGAAGCAAGGGAAGAACTCAATCGTATGCTTAATGAAGACGAACTCAGGGATGCAGTCTTATTAGTATTTGCAAATAAACAGGTAATCCACAGCTTTTAACAGAAAAATACCTATATTTTTATACATTAAAAACTTCTCAATTTACAAAAATGTTAAACCCTCAACTTTGTGTAAAATTTGCATTACTAAATGAATTAAACCAGAAATATGTACCTTATTTTTGGCCGGGTTATAGTATGGTGAATGTCGGGCGGGCGGGGAAAAGGTGTACCAGTTTTGTAGAATCAACTCCTAGAGTTTTTGATGGAGAAGCTTGAAACTTTGTAGGATGTTTAAATATATGTTGGAAGATGTGCACCTCCTATTATGGATTCATTCCAGACATTTTTCTGGATTTTCTGGGCATTGGAACATAGTCATTTTCCACAGTTTGGCAGGGAGTAGTATTACAATACCAATATTAAATTGTGTACAGCAATGTTTCACTGAATTATTTTCTATAATAGTTTCATGGTACTCAAATTCAATATCAGGTTATGACGTCAAAATACTGTAAAGTGAGTTAATATTGCGGTGTCAAAATTTCATGCTTTTCTTTCTGGAGCTTATTTGCGGAATCGAAAATTTGCATTATACAACATATATAATAATTGACAGCAATTACAACTGACCTATTATCATAATTTTAACAGAAGTTTTAAATCCGTGCTTTGAAAGCAAATTGCGAATATAGCAAAATATAACCCCCGCCAAATAAAAACACTTTACAGTACAGAGATAAGAAAGAAGCTGTTCCTAGCCCACCATCCATAGTGGGCTGATCAAATCACCAGTCGTCCGTGGTCCATCATCTGTTGTCCATTTCTGAATTTTCTCTTGTTATAACAGTTTCTCAGAAACTACTACAAGAATCTTTATGAAATTCCACATACAAATCACCTTGGGGCCCAAGATGTCCATTGTCTATCTTTTTAATATCTCCGAATCAAAAATGGATGATACTTCTTTCTTCAAATGCCCTTCTTCTGCACCAATTCATAAAATACAACCAAACTTTCTCTCTTATAACAAGTATCCTACATACTCAACAAATGAAACACCCTTAACTGTCTTATAAATACCATATAACATTGCACGCATCCCTCAACTCGGCCAATTGTGGCCTTGCCCCATTTTTATTATCTGTCCCATCAACAATGATGATCAAAGAAATTTTTATCTTTCCTCTACCAAGGATCTGCCCAATGCTATGACGGCCACAGAGCTGACAGACAAGCTTGGACTGCAAAATCTACGAGGACGTAGATGGTACATTCAATCAACATGTGCCACCAGCGGCGATGGTCTTTATGAAGGACTTGACTGGGTGGCTAATGAACTAAAGAAAAATAATTCGTAGAAGAATCCTTTTTAAGACATTTCAAATTGTTAGTTCAGATATGTTCAGGACAGACGTTCATTTGTGTTCTGAACAAAGGTTCATTTAGAGATGGGGCCATTGTCTGGTCAATTAATTGGAGATGTTTATCATGAGGAGGACTCAAAGGAGAGATTTTTCCATGCGCATACTGTACCTCTCCTGCATGTGTTGTATTACTTTTGAAGTGGTTATCTTCTACACACTGGACCTTAATTGGGCCAAATTTATTCTGCTAGAAGAAACTAACACATAGTAACATCTTCAGTATCAGTATCTGTTTTTAAAAAAATGGAATGTTTTTGCCAAATCATAGATAATAAGTATACCATGTAAGCAAACAATTTTCAGATGGTATGTTGATGACATTCCAATATTTTAATGCTTTCTTGTGTTGTTATTGTTGCTGCTGCTGCTGTAAACTGAATTTACAACAAATCAAATATTTCCAATCAGATGTTAACAATTTAAGTCAATTAGAATTAAAATTGATAATCGGACATATAAAACGAGTCTTTCCTGAAAATAACTACATTTTGGTTAGCTTTTGTTATTGGTATCATTAAAGTGTTGTTTACATGTATGATGTGCAGAAGTAACAGTTTCACCACTGATGTTGATTAGAGGGTATTTATGTTGGGGTAGTAAGGTTAATCTGTCATGGATGATAATAATCACTGGGTTTTTTAAGTATATAAATGTATGCTTCATGTTGTAATAAAAGTCTGTTGGATGTTACTCATATTTGAGCATTGTTTCACTAAGTAACAACTGGAAAGAAAGACTCTGAAAGCAGTTTACAATATTCTTGTATCAAAATTGGTAGGCATCTCTTTGATTTAGAAAACAGCTTACCACTATTTTATATACATTGCAAATTTTATCATCTTTAATGTTATATATATGGTGGTATGTATTGAGTTTTTGGGTACATTATTTTGTAGTGATAGTATTATGTTTGAAAAAGTCAACTTTACATTGTGAATGATATTGAATAGACAATGAAGAATTGATTGCTAACCCATGCAAGTTGTAAAGACGAAGGGTTTGTTATGATAGGCTGTTAATGTTTATGGTGACTTCAAATGAAAAGTTTTTCAGTGTTGTAATTTATCCAGACCTTGAAATTCTAATGGTTGTTCAAAAATGCTTTTTCATTCACAAAAGTATCGAAAATTCTATTTTAGTATTATATTTCTGGTAACATAGTCAAAAGTCATCATTTATGACTGCTTCAGAACTAAATTGTGTGGAGGTATGGCAGTTCCCATATTTCATTAACTACCCATTAGATCAATAAATTCAGTACCCAGATACAAGACTGAGTTCCTGCTCAAATCCAACCATCATGATAATGTCTTTGCTAATCTAGTTGATTTCTTGATGTGAAACTCTAAAATGGTTGAAAGCTTTATTGTAACACTACTGATTCAATGCCAGTTTTATAAACACTTACAAAAAACCAATTGATACATGCTTTAATTTCTGGTCCTATTGTTGTAATATATGGATATGAATTGATAGTATGTTTTCTTGGTTTTAATTGTAAATCACACATGCAGACTAGTAGAGTACACATAGGTTTCAAACACATATTCACTGTCATTTATCAGTGTGCACTGTCAGTTAACATTTTAATTTTAAGATATTGAACTGAACATCAGATTGCTGCTTCAAATGTATTTCAATATTCATTTGCCTGCCAAAAGTGTTCGCATGCAGTTGCCTGTGTTTGGTCTATATTGGTAAAGCTTTATTAGGAAAAATGAACATAGCATTTCATTTTGATGTGCATATGCAACTAGACATGGAAATTGGAGAAGCTGGTTCTTCCATAGGTTAAGTTAAGATTTTTCATATCCCATTCTGCAAGTAGTGCTGTTTAACAGAAAAAGTCATTCAAGATGTGAGACAACAGATACACTGTTGGACACACAGTGTTTTTATGTGATACATATGATTGTATATGATAATGTGAATAGTGAAAAATAAACTCATTTCAGTAATACTGTTGTTTGATTTTTTTGTTTTTGTTTGCCTTTGGGCCAGTTGAGCTATAGAGATACTACAGTGTCGGTCAACTTTCACTATATATTGCAACTTTTCATGAACCACTGAGTGGATGTTTCAATCAAATTTGGTGAAAAGCATCGTTGGAGAAAGGGGAACTAATTTTATGTAAATGGTGCATCTGGTGCACCTGGGGTCAGAGGGGCAGTAGAGAAAATCAATCAATTTCTTTAAAATCTATCTTGTTCTTCAGGTGTTGCAGGATATCATCCAAAATTGGTCTGGAGCATGCTTGGGTAAAAGGAAATGAGTTTTGTATAAAGCGTCAGATTCTGCCCTCTGTGGCCAGATAGCAGGGTTCAACAGGGAAAATCTAACCCTCTAAGTAGATTTAGTTCATTTTCATATCATTGCATTGTACATCAACAATTCATTCGGATCTTTGGTTCTTTGAAACAGTTGTGATCCCCACTGAATAACTATAGCATTACTGAGCATCAGGAGATAAACACAATCATAAATAGTAATTTGTCCTGGGGTCTGATCCCACCCCAGAACAGATTACATCTTTGAAGCCATTGAGATCACCATCTCATAACTTAATAGTTTTGCTAGATATCAAGAGATTAACAACTTATCTCTGTCCCCACCCCTAGTTTCTAATACATAACAATACAGTTCTAGTGAAAATATATATGCAGGTTGTTATGATAGGATTACTAGATGTTTCAAGAACTTGCATTTCCAGTGTAAGATTAAATCTAAAATTGAGGCAATATTACAAATGCAGTAGAAAGTAACAATCTGGATGGGGTGGGAAGACATTAAATCACCATATCTCTCTAACTGTATAAAATCGGACTTTAGTCAGAAGTAAAAAATGTGCTCATATACTTGAGTATTTTAAAGGTTGTCACTAGTGCATGGAGATTGCACCGATGTGGAAATTCTCTCATTTATCATTTCTTTGATTCAGTATCATACACTGTACATTTGATTTAGGGTTGTATAATAGACCCTTCTTTTTTACGTTTTTTATATGTGTGTGACCAGTGATTTTATTTTCAAAATGATGAAAACCAGTATCACAAGGCTGTTCTACTGATGGAATCATATAGTCTGTGATACCAAAGATGATATACATTGTTTGTGCTAAATAACTGATACACATTGTAGTTTAAGCTGTATTTACTGTATAGTTTTCATACATATTTATGTCGTTGCACTTTGCTGTATTTTATTTTCCAATGTGCTGTCTTTATTTTGAGTTATGGTTTCACACCTATTCCACAATGCTTTTGTGCAAGAGTTTGGTTTTTGAGGCATTTTCACCAGTAAACCAAATATCTAATTCGAGAGCATTTAACAATAAGACATTTTCAAGCAGAAAAATCGACAACCAGTTTTCTTTTGAGAGGAGTGATGCTGAAAACTCGCGAAAGATTATCATCGCATTGTGGAGAAGATCCGATACTTTCCCTCACATCTTGATCAGGTTAGTAGTGCTTGAATCCCTATTAAAGTTATATACCCTTGAACTATATATCAGGGTTGTTTCAATTGTTAAACTTTCTGGTATGAATATAGGTTAATCATAATGTGTACAATTTTCATTTTATTTTAATAAGCTGAATTTTGCTGTGGTTTTCAGAAATTTAAATGATTATGATAAATTAAGTTAAATACATTTATCTCGTAAAATACTGTATTCAAAAACCTATCTTATGCAACATAATTATGATGTTCAATTTACCAAATGGAAAGGTTATTGAATTAGTTGTGAAGGCTTTACCAGTACTTGGTTACATGAAAGATATCAACAGAAAATATTGTTAAGTCCCTACAACAGATAGATATTTGTATCAAAATTATTTAGCACTTATTCAACTGGTTTTATAGCACATTTTGCCTCTAGAAAAATTCTGAACATAGATGTTAAATTGGCTGGAGTTTAAAAAAACTGATTGTCAAAAAGCCTGAAACATGATGTTTCTTGGCTAAATGTATGCATTATCGCTTGGTGAAAATGCCTAATATGTTGATAGTCACTTGTGCAGCATGCTTTCCTATGTTCTTAAACCATGGTTGTATTATTGCATATGTATTAATATTTATAAGCTTTTTTACCTAGTTTGTTTTCATTGTTATATTTGTGTTCTTTCCTATTAGTTGTGATATTAACAGTTTTGAATTTGGACATAGATATGAAAATGCATAATTCTCTTTGAGAAATCAAACAGATCAAACTTCAAAATTGTCTGTTTTGAAACTCAAGGAGGAGGAAAAACACAAATTATCCATACTTCAAAGTATAAGAAGCAGAATGTAAAAAAACTTGTTATGATAAAAGAAAGGAAGAAAAATAGGAAGAAAAACAAAACACAGAAAACGGAAGCCTTTTTTTAGTTGACGATATCAGTTTGAGATTGACCTGGTCTTGAAAATATCTAATCCCTCCTAACATGACCTGTAATAACAGTGTTATGATTGTAAACATTATCAGATGAATATGATCTAGGTGTGAGCCATCATATCTTAAAACGTCTTTAGCTTAATATGGCTTATTAAAAGTTTGGTTATTAGAGAAGGAAAACGTCACATTAAGAAATTACTTAATTCATGGTCAGTGTGTACTGTTGTTTTATGGAAATACTTTCATAAACCAGGAATCATTTCATTGACCTAACTGTACTAAATATAACCTCTTGTCCTCATCTGCATCATAGGATATTTTTGTTGTGAGAGTTTTTCATTAGAAGGGCTGTAACATCAGTTCCTGATTTGTCTATTGGGCCTGAAACTTTATTGAAAGTAGAGATGTTTTTCTCTCTGATCTTACAATATTTTGTGGAATTATATATATATCTGCACTGATGTAATTAATAAACATAATCCAAGTTTGATTCTCTCATATTACAGGTTATCATCTTCCAAACAAAGTGAAGCATTGCTAAATATTAAAGATGGGGAATATGTTTGGAAAGCTGTTTAGCTCACTCTTTGGCAAAAAAGAGATGAGGATATTAATGGTTGGTTTGGATGCGGCTGGTAAAACTACAATCCTGTATAAACTGAAGCTTGGAGAAATAGTTACAACAATTCCAACTATAGGTAAGTTCTGTCCCAGATGGAATAAATCAAACCACTATGTCAGACAAATCACCTGACCAGTCTTTACCTCTATTGTCATTGGGAAAATATATCTTGTAGAAAGATGGAAATTTGAATCAATTTCATTGTCCTTTTTTGCTACTTGAAACTGCCTTTATCATTATATAAAATTTTGGAGTTGTTTTAAAGATTTTATGATCAGTATTTTTGATTCATGATTTTGCAGGTTTCAATGTTGAGACTGTAGAATACAAAAACATCAGCTTCACAGTGTGGGACGTTGGTGGTCAGGACAAGATTCGGCCATTGTGGAGACATTACTTCCAAAATACTCAAGGTAAGACACTTCACAATACACGGGGTAAGACACTTCACAGTACACAGGGTAAGACACTTCACTGTACACAGGGTAAGACACTTCACAGTACACAGGGTAAGACACTTCACAGTACACAAGGTAAGACACTTCACAATACACAGGGTAAGACACTTCACAGTACACAAGGTAAGACACTTCACATTACACAAGGTAAGACACTTCACAGTACACAGGGTAAGACACTTCACAGTACACAAGGTAAGACACTTCACAATACACAGGGTAAGACACTTCACAGTACACAAGGTAAGACACTTCACATTACACAAGGTAAGACACTTCACAGTACACAGGGTAAGACACTTCACAGTACACAGGGTAAGACACTTCACAGTACACAAGGTAAGACACTTCACAGTACACAAGGGAGGACTCCTTACATACATAAAGCAAGACATTTTGTATACTGACTGAATATATGGAAATTCCCAAGTAATATCACCAACTGTTTAGTAATAATGTCACAATTTATTGAAAAAAATACAAATGTCTACAGGCAGTTAACTTGCTATACAAATTGATATTACATTAATGCTAGATCAGTGTACATTGTAGGAAAAAGGGGATTAAAACAAAAATGTGACAACATATTGATTTAGCAAATAGTGCACACCTGTCAATTGTCCTGCCTAAACAAATATTGTTTGGTTGACCCATAATAAGCCCACCCACTTACGTTGAATTAGAAGTCATTTGTTGACTTGCGATGCAAATTACAGAAAAGCTGTACCTCATGATTCTTATGTTGATAGGGCTGATATTTGTGGTGGATAGCAATGATAGAGAGCGAATTGGTGAAGCTAGAGAAGAGTTGATGAGGATGATTCACGAGGATGAATTGAGAGATGCAGTACTTCTGGTGTTTGCCAATAAACAGGTTTGTAATATATATTACTGATTCAAGTCCCATCACTTCAGATACAAGAACCCTATATATTCAGACAGTTTGTAAGCACTTTCAAAGTAACATTTCAGGCATAAATCTAGACAAGCATGTATATAATAAAATGACTCCATAAAAAGCTTTGTCAAGGCATTAAAGAAAGCACAGCAAGATCAATAGATACAGACCTTATTTCAATAAAGTGGTCGGGCGGCACACAGGTAACTCACTTGCCTTTCATCTCGCTGTGTAGGGTTTGATCCCTGAAAAGGATGTACAAATATATGGGGTCACCTTCCAGACCACATGTTTTTTTTTTCCCAGATACTCTGTTTTCTTCCACAGTAAGCCACCAGCTTGCTTCCATCACTGCCAACAGTAGTGATTATTTTAGCGAATGTAATCAGTGTAAATTATCAATTAAATATACAAACCTTATTTTTTCAATTGAATACAGTTTTGTTAATTATTCTTTCTTCAGGACTTACCAAATGCTATGGCGGCAAACAATATCACAGAAAATCTAGGTCTGTCAACGCTTCGTAACAGGAACTGGTACATTCAATCAACGTGTGCAACAAGCGGTGATGGTCTTTATGAAGGACTTGACTGGTTATCCAATCAGCTTAAGAATGCTGGCAAATAAAAACAAAACTGAATTTGTATGTTAAGTCTCTTGTAATGTGAAAATGAGTGTTTAGTCATGGTGTAATTTATACAGAGATTTGACTGTGTATGAATGGATTATATTGTTGGATTGTGTAGTATGAGTATGAATGTTAGAGATAACTGGTATGCCCTATTTCTGTGCTTTTAATAAGATCTATAGTACTAACAATTGGATTTGAGTACAACTCAGGATATTGGTTACATTTACACTATTATTAATTTAGGATGGAATAAAGAAAGATTAAACTTAAGACTTAATAGACATATTTTAAAAAAGATGCTTAGAAAAATTAAAGAAAAAAAAAGAAACAGTCGGGATGAGTGTGTAAATTGCCACATCCTGAGGACTTTTAATACTAAAGAGTGGTGGTGAGCATTGATCTAGTGCAGGACGGTATTGTAAGTTCAACTACAGAGCAAGTTTGTTAAACTTGAAATTAAATAGAAAGACAAAAAGAGAACAGAACATAGTATATTTGATGTTCTCATTGATGTCCATGTAAAATTGAGTATTTGTTATAAGAAGTAGGAATTATCAATGATGGAACCCTGCTTGTCTGAAACATTGATGGAACCAAGGTTGTAATTTTTTTGAAAGAACTGTTACATTGTATCAGGACAAAAACGTTTAGTAACCCACCTCCTCCTTCAGCAAAGTAGAAGTGTGTATTTTTTTTATTTTTTAATGTTTATTCACGGTAAAAATGGTTATAAAATGATCTTGATCTGTATCTCGATATAGGATTTTAAGGTGACAGGCTTTCAAGTCTGTCATAATTAATCTAGCATAGCAACACGCTATACAGCAGGCTTTCAAGTCTGTCATAATTAATCTAGCATTGCAACAAACTATACAGTAAGCTTTCAAGTTTGTCAGAATTAATCTAGCATAGCAACACACTATACAGCAAGCTTTCAAGTCTGTCATAATTAATCTAGCAGATTAACACGCTATACAGCAGGCTTTCAAGTCTGTCATGATTAATCTAGCATAGCAACACACTATACAGCAAGCTTTCAAGTTTGTCAGAATTAATCTAGTATAGCAACACACTATACAGCAGGCTTTCAAGTTTGTCAGAATTAATCTAGCATAGCAACAAACTGTACAGCAGTCTTTCAAGTCTGTCAGAATTAATCTAGCATAGCAACACACTATACAGCAGACTTTCAAGTTTGTCAATTAATCTAGCATAGCAACACACTGTACAGCAGGCTTTCAAGTTTGTCAATTAATCTAGCATAGCAACACACTATACAGCAGGCTTTCAAGTTTGTCAGAATTAATCTAGCATAGCAACACACTATACAGCAGGCTTTCAAGTTTGTCAGAATTAATCTAGCATTGCAACACACTGTACAGCAGGCTTTCAAGTTTGTCAGAATTAATCTAACATAGCAACACACTATACAGCAGGTAAATGATACAGGTTCATTGGGCCTTTTCTTGTATAAAAATAAGGTTGAAGTTATCTCAGCTACAAAGACAATACATAACATATGATACACTTCAATATGATCAGTGAATTGTATATCAAAGTTGTATTAAAGGGAGATAACTGTGAATATGATTAATATTTAGGTATCTTTTCATGGTGTTTTTCGTTCAATACCTATTGCCATATCTATGAATTATTCCTTTTCCTGGATTAGTCCACTAATGTTTATTGCAGGTTTGGAAGAAATACCAGCAAATACTTAACTACCCCCTGAGTCCTGTAATAAGCCCACCCCCTGATTTTATGTCTGAATTTGTATATTGTCCCTTTGAAATTGTTACAGGTTAAATACCATGCCATTGATATCTGATGCCCCACCCCCACCCCCATCCCCTCCCTGTATGTACAACAAGGAAATTAAATTTGGTTCAGCTCGAAAAAAAATCAATGTATAATGAAATTTACTTGAGAGTGAGTTTAAGAAATCTTCAACTGTGAGAAACACTTGTTGACAAAGTAATTGAATTTATTGTTAAAAGTTCTCACATGAAAGCTTATTGTATATATGAATACACTGATAAAAGCTAAAGTTGTTTAACTTTTTAACATTCCCAATAACACATTCAAATATTTTGAAGCTGTCCATTTTGAATAGAAAATCAAAATGTAGTTTAATGTAATTCAGTTCCTTGTGTATGTGAATTTTAATGTTTACCAAACAAAATGGAACCTGGATTTTGTGATGGAAGTGTTAAGTTCATTCTATGCTATCCTTTAAGTCATGTACCTTCTATGAGAAATTACTTCACATCTTCAGTATCAAGAGATTGTGCATTAACCTTTCTTATTAATGGCACACCATTATCAGATTGGAGGCTATTCATATTGCTCTACATTCCAGGTCTGTCACCAATCTGTAAGATTATGTTATTGCTATTTCTTAAGAAGTATGGAATGGATCTCTCTCAAGTTTCATTTGAATATTTGAAGAGCAGAAAAACAAAATGGTTGACAGGTGGCCTTCTTGAGACTTGCTCTAGAAAGTTGTTATCACCATTTTTTCAGAAGCACTGAATGGATCTTCCTCAAATTCTGTATGTAGGTTTCCTTTGGTCCCTAATTGTGCCTTTACTATTTTAGGACTAGGAAAACAAAATGACCGGCAGTCTTCTTGGATTTTGACAATGAAAGTTCATTAGAGCTATTTCTGAAATACAGCATGGATCATTCATAAATTTCACATGTAGATACCTATAGTCTTGGTCCCTTTTCATTTTTTGACTGATCAGACAGACAAATATTGCTGACACGTGACCATTTTAGATTTATCAGTTTTGTAATCAATATTTTCATTATTTTTTAAGAGGACTTTATGAATTTCATGATTAAGAGAAAAACAGACAAAAGAAGGGAAAAGATCCTATTTTCAAAGAACAAAAAAGTTCAAACATCATTGGGTGTCAAGATCCCTCTGGGATCCCGTGTAATATACCCAATATTTACACTATTAGTGATTAGGAGGAGTAGCTGTGTAAAAGGTCATCCCTTTAAAAGATGACCTCTGACCCAATTAAGTTAGAATTTTGTATCAAGTTTTGTCTTTACAGTTTACATATTTTGTTTCTATAAGTTAATCCAATCTTACATTTTATAAGTGCATAATGAGTTTGTGATTATTAAGCTAGAGGTGTAAAGAGTTTTAAAAATGTAGTTTGTGACAGAAATAAATATGTAGATGTAATATAAGTGAGAAGTGTTTATTTTGTGTGTAATCATCTCCCTGTTAGCAGGGATTAATGTAGCTCTATCAGGAAGGACCCTCCTGCAGAAATGTATGCGACAATCAGAGCCAAAGTGAACAGAGACTGCTAGGGGAAGTTCCGGTAGAGGGCAAACACCAATGACTTTTTTATGTAGAAAAAGGTACAAAATGGTATGTGTTATAGAAAAGGTACAAAATGGTATGTGTTATAGAAAAAAGGTACAAAACGGTATGTGTTATAGAAAAAGGTACAAAACGGTATGTGTTATAGAAAAAGGTACCAAACGGTATGTGTTATAGAAAAAGTTACCAAATGGTAAGTTTTTCGGAAAAAGGTACAAAATGGTATGTTTTCAAAGTATTTGGTTTGGGGTATTACATGCATTAGCATGACAATGTGAGCATGAAATTTAAGAATTGGAATAAGAAAAATAACATCCTCATCAGCAGTGTTAAAAATTTATCTATGAGGAAGTGAGGAGTTTTTGTCAGTCTTTATAGAAGGGAATTAACTATCCCTAAACACAGCAAAATGAACTTTGTCTGGGATTGGAGTATGATATTTTCAAGTGAAATAAAGGTCTTATGGTGAAAAATATGTAAGAAAAATGAAAAACACCCCTATTTATATACAAAATTGTATACAGATTTCATTTTGTTCCTGTAATTTCTACACCTAATTTTGGTTGTCATTAGTCAAAACATTTATACTACTTTTGAAATGAGTTTGTTTAAGGTGTCTCATCATATCTTATCTTAACTTAAAACCTCAACTGATTTGAAAGGAAAATAAATCATCAAAGGTGAGCCCAGAGGTAAAGTTATGTGAGTCCTTGCTCATTTTTAGCTCACCAGACCCAAAGGGCCAAGTCAGGTTATGCCATATCGCTTAATCCATCCGTCCGTCCGTCAACTTTTCATTTAAACAACTTCATCTGAAATACCGAAAGGCATAGAGTTATCGTATTTGGCTGGAAGGTTGGTTTGATGAAGCCCAACAATGTTTGCAAAAAGAAATGGCCTTGACCCATATTCAAGGTCACATAGGTCAAATGTGTTAAAACCTTTAAACAACTTTTTCCAAAATACCAGAATGCCTAGAATCATTATATATTGCTAAGAGGTTACTTTGTTGAAGCCCAACAAAGTTTGCAAAAAAAATAACCTTGACCCATATTCAAGGTCACAGAGGTCAAATGTGTTAAAACATTTAAATGACTTCTTCCAAAATACTGGAAGGCTTACAATCATTATATTAGGCTGGAAGGTTCTTCTGATAAAACCCAACAAAGTTTGCGAAAAGAAATGACCTTGACCCATAGTCAAGGTCGCAGAAGTCAAATTTGTTAAAACCTTTAAACAACTTCTCCCCAAATACAGGAAGGCCTAGAATCATTATATTAGGCTACTATGTTCCTCTTATGGTGTCCTATAAAGTTTGCTAAAAGAAATTACCTTGACCAATCTGCAAGGTCACAGGTGACATTTTAATAATTTCTTCTGAAATATTGAAAAGCCTAGAATCATTTTATTTGGCAAGCATGTTCCTTTTGTGAAGTCCAAGAAAGTTTGCAAAAAGAAATGACCTTGACCCAGGTCATAGGGGTCAAATGTGAAACATATGCAGAGATATAATACTGTTGGTCATAAAGATATAGGTGAGCGATACAGGCCCTCTGGGCCTCTTGTGTTTACAGTGCCTTTAAGCCCAAAAGCCAAATGTGAAATCCTACGAAACTTTACACAGCAGAATACTAGAACAATTAATAGGGTATGTATTGTTTTGTGTGTTTCAGATTGTAACCAAGACTTTTAGGAACCAAGTACATCTACTAAGAAGCAATCATGGGGAATATGTTTACAAACCTTTTTAAAGGCCTGTTTGGCAAAAAAGAGATGAGGATATTAATGGTTGGTTTGGATGCGGCTGGTAAAACTACAATCCTGTATAAACTGAAGCTTGGAGAAATAGTTACAACAATTCCAACTATAGGTAAGTTATTTGTAACAAATCAGTCTTTTCTCCCCTGGAAAGATAGATGGACGCAATAGTCAATCTGAAATAGCAGGCCCCAGTCACACAAATCTTCCTTAACTTATGGCATTTTCCTTCACTTACAATTGCTTGCAGGAAATCATTGAATATGTTCAGGAAATTTCGATCAATATAAGTTTTTTCCAAATTCGTAATGCTTTTCTATAGCAGTTTTCCTTGGTTAAGGAAGATTCTTAAAACTGTAACAAGAAGGAAGTTGACATCTAACAGTAGGATACTCTGTAATTTCTTATGTTAACTATTTATGCTGTTAGTGAATTATTTTGTAAGACATCAGCTGAAAAGTTACGTCATTCCTAGGTTTTTGGAAAGAAAGTTTGGGTCTGCTCATTAAGTTTTACTTTTGACAATGAATAATTAAGTTGTCTAGCCTAGTGATGAGTGGACAGTGCTCTCACATACCTACAATTGGCAGACTTAGTACCATTGTCTTTGCTCAATGTGTAGAGTTATTGCTCTTGATTCATACCCATGTACAAAGTTTGTACTCTTGTATAAAATTAACTATGTAAAGCATTTAACATTATTGCCATTGATATTGTGGAATAGATAACTAAGTAGTTGTACCTGTATTTTTAAGGAGATATACAGTAAAAAGTAGGAGACAAGAGTATTTTCAAGCGTAGCACGTACCCAGTAATAATAAATATCATTAGGAATATTCTTTTTAGCCCACCATCTATTCAAATAGATGGTGGGTTATTCAAATCGCCTTGTGTCCGTGGTCCGTAAAAGTTTGTTACCGCTATTTCTGGAAAAGTACCGCAGGTTCCGTCCGTTGTGCAAACAATTCTTGTTACCGCTATTTCTGGAAAAGTACTGTATGGATCTTTCTCAAATTTCATATGCAGGTTCCCCTTGGTCCCTAGTTGTGCATTGTACCTTTTTTGAACTGATTCGCATTCAAGATGGCCGACAGGTGACCATCTTGGATTTTGGAAGTAAAAGTTTGTTACCGCTATTTCTGGAAAAGTACTGGATGGATATTTCTCAAATTTCATATGCAGGTTCCCCTTGGTCCCTAGATTGTGCATTGTACCTTTTTTGGACTGATTCGAATTCAAGATGGCGGACAGGTGGCCATCTTGGATTTTGGAAGTAAAAGTTTGTTACCGCTATTTCTTGGAAAGTACTGGATGGATCTTTCTCAAATTTCATATGCAGTTTCCCCTTAGTCCCTAGTTGTGCATTGTACCTTTTTTGGACTGATTCGAATTCAAGATGGCCGACAGGTGACCATCTTTGATTTTGGATGTAAAAGTTTGTTACTGCTATTTCTTGGAAAGTGCTGGATGGATCTTTCTCAAATTTCATATGCAGTTTCCCCTTGGTCCCTAGTTGTGCATTGTACCTTTTTTGGACAGATTCGAATTCAAGATGGCGGACAGGTGGCCATCTTGGATTTTGGATGTAAAAGTTTGTTACTGCTATTTCTTGGAAAGTACTTGATGGATCTTTCTCAAATTTCATATGCAGGTTCCCTTTGGTTCCAAGTTGTGCATTGTACCTTTTTTGGACAGATTCGAATTCAAGATGGCGGACAGGTGGCCATCTTGGATTTTGAGAGTAAAATCTTGTTACTGCTATATCTGAGGAAGTCCAGGATGGGTCCTTCTGATATTTCATAGATATTGGTTTCCCTTGGTCCCTAGTTGTGCATTGTACCGTTTTTGGACTGATTCGAATTCAAGATGGCCCACAGGCAGCCATCTTGGATGTCGATAGTAATACAGCACAAGCATATTATCCATTATCCACCTGTAACTGACTGCTGTCTAATAATACTTTGGGATCTTTTTCAAATGATATTTGCTAATAGGTGCTTAATAAAAATATCTTGTGCCATCATTTAGTACATTCAATGAAGACCAGTTCATGAACATTTACAACACCTGTAACAAACAAAAAAAAATCTTCAAGAACTGAAAACAGATCCTCAAATGGTGGGCGCCAAGATCCCTCTGGGATCTCTTGTTTCAGACAATAATATCTTTTTATTTCATCTCCAGGTTTCAATGTTGAGACTGTAGAATACAAAAACATCAGCTTCACAGTGTGGGACGTTGGTGGTCAGGACAAGATTCGGCCATTGTGGAGACATTACTTCCAAAATACACAAGGTAAGACACTTCACATACTCAAGGTAAGACACTTCACATACTCAAGGTAAAACACTTCACATACTCAAGGTAAAAAGAATTCACATACTCAAGGTAAGACACTTCACATACTCAGGTAAAATACTTCACAATAAGGTAAGACACTTCGCATACTCAAGGTAAGACACTTCACAATAAGGTAAAACACTTCACATACTCCAGGTAAAACACTTCACAATAAGGTAAAATACTTCACAATAAGGTAAAACACTTCACATACTCAAGGTAAGACACTTCACATACTCAAGGTAAAACACTTCACATACTCAAGGTAAAACACTTCACAATAAGGTAAAACACTTCACATACTCAAGGTAAAACACTTCACATACTCCAGGTAAAACACTTGACAAAAAGGTAAAACACTTCACATACTCAAGGTAAGACACTTCACATACTCAAGGTAAAACACTTCACATACTCAAGGTAAAACACTTCACAATAAAGTAAGACACTTCACATACTCAAGGTAAGACACTTCACATACTCCAGGTAAAACACTTCACAATAAAGTAAGACACTTCACATACTCAAGGTAAGACACTTCATATACTCATTAAAAACCTACAACTTCACATCAAGTATCAATGAATATTTTATTCTTTGTATATTTTAAACCTGAATACTATATGAATAACATTTACATTTTGCATATTGAAAACAACTTTACACACATATTAAGTTAAAATATGAATTAAACAGAAAAATTGAAAATAATGATCCTATATAAGAAACAAGATTTAACAAAATGTATCAATTGTTTTGTCATCAGGTTTGATATTTGTGGTGGACAGCAACGACAGGGAAAGGGTAGGGGAAGCTAGAGAGGAGTTGACGAGGATGTTAAATGAGGATGAACTCAGGGATGCAGTTCTGTTAGTATTTGCTAACAAACAGGTTAGTCCAAACTATTTGTTGTATGAAATGCCACAAATTTTATGAATGATTTGATTTGGCATTCACAAAACTTGTCATCATTTCTCTCCCCTGAACAATGACTCATCCTGATTTGTTGTAATCATATGTCTTATTTTTTCTGGTATTGATATAAAACTGATATTTCCTTCATCGAGACATTCCAAACCTGCCATATGATGTTAGCTCTAAATGTCTGGACATTTTGAAGTTTTGTCTGTCCCAATGCTTTGCTTTTTTCATGTAACCTTGTGTTTCTGCATTTCTAGAAGAGGTATAGTTCAATCTGAGAAGGGCATGATAGTCCACAAATTTCCATCAGCGTTCAAATATGTCTGCAGTTTTAGTAAATTTTCAGTCAATTGCAAAACAATAGCAATGAAATATGAATTACAGTATAACACGGTTAAGTCAGAGTCAACAGGACCAAATGAAATATTCAACATGAATGAATAAGTAATAAGAAAATATTTTGTAAATTTATAAACTGACAGTGTCTTTCATTTAAATAAACAGTGATAAGTATGAATATAAAACAAAAAAATGTAATGTAAAACACTCGTCATTGAACTGCAGCACACATTTGGGTACACACCCACTCTCACACACATAACTTAGTGAATTACCTAAAGTAATACAAATATTGTACTCACATTTATATCCCTAAGAGTAACAAGTCCCGTGAATAATATTTCAAAATAAAACCCAATAAATACGTTCTCGTGAACATTCTACATTGATATAACATTGACACCACTGAGGTGTGTTGAGCAAAGGTGAAGGCTGCAGCAACGTCACTGAGCATAACTTTTCATGTACAGCTCCTTAAGTGTGTAACTGTAAAATAGAATCAAATCAAACTTGATGGTAAAAATACATGTATATCAGTAAATAAACAAATGTGTCTCTGACAAACTAGAATTTTTATCAATCAGCATGAGCAGGCTTGTTACCATTTTTTCCTTTGGTTTCCGGCAGCCATGATTAGAAAATCACAGTAGATATAGATATAGACGATGTCTTTGCTTGGAGATATACTTACATAGACACTATAGATATAGTAATAGACGATGTCTTTGCTTGGAGATATACTTACATAGACACTATATAGTAATAGACAATGTCTTTGCTTGGAGATATACTTACATAGACACTATATAGTAATAGACGATGTCTTTGCTTGGATGTCTGTTTTGCTTGGAGATATACTTACATAGACAATATATAGTAATAGACAATGTCTTTGCTTGGAGATATACTTACATAGACACTATATAGTAATAGACAATGTCTTTGCTTGGAGATATACTTACATAGACACTATATAGTAATAGACAATGTCTTTGCTTGGAGATATACTTACATAGACACTATAGATATTGTAATAGACGATGTCTTTGCTTGGAGATATACTTACATAGACACTATATAGTAATAGACAATGTCTTTGCTTGGAGATATACTTACATAGACACTATAGATATAGTAATAGATGATGTCTTTGCTTGGAGATATACTTACATAGACACTATAGATATAGTAATAGACGATGTCTTTGCTTGGAGATATACTTACATAGACACTATAGATATAGTAATAGACGATGTCTTTGCTTGGAGATATACTTACATAGACACTATATAGTAATAGACAATGTCTTTGCTTGGAGATATACTTACATAGACACTATAGATATAGTAATAGACGATGTCTTTGCTTGGAGATATACTTACATAGACACTATATAGTAATAGACGATGTCTTTGCTTGGAGATATACTTACATAGACACTATAGATATAGTAATAGACGATGTCTTTGCTTGGAGATATACTTACATAGACACTATAGATATAGTAATAGATGATGTCTTTGCTTGGAGATATACTTACATAGACACTATAGATATAGTAATAGACGATGTCTTTGCTTGGAGATATACTTACATAGACACTATAGATATATTAATAGACGATGTCTTTGCTTGGAGATATACTTACATAGACACTAAGATATAGACAATGTCTTTGCTTGGAGATATACTTACATAGACACTATATAGTAATAGACAATGTCTTTGCTTGGAGATATACTTACATAGACACTACATGGTTATAGACTGACTTGTTTGTTCTGCAAAGTTCATATACAGTGGCCTAGTTCCAACAAGGAAACTTTGACAGCTGCACAATATGTGTTTTTTCATTAAATTTCTAATGTTGAACCACCTCATAATAGTGTTGTCTGTATAAGGAAAGATTCTGAGAAATTTTGAATTCTTAACAGGATCTGCCAAACGCCATGAATGCAGCAGAAATCACTGACAAGCTTGGACTCCACAGCCTAAGGAACAGGAACTGGTACATTCAAGCAACGTGTGCAACAAGTGGTGATGGTCTTTATGAAGGACTTGACTGGTTATCCAATCAGCTCAAGTCTGCCAAGTGATAAAAGATAAACTTTGGCAGGGATGTGTAACACAATTTTGTTAGAATGTGTTATACAATTGGGAAAGCTGTTCTATTGAATGACTTTCTACAGCGACTGAAAAGTCTCACAATTTCTTTACTTAATTTCTAGAATTTGAGGATGAAAAATACTATTTTTGGCTAGAGGAATGTTGTTTTTCACACCATAATATGAATTTTGATGTTGCAAAAGATGAAAGAAATTTTTTGGAAGAACAAATCGTGTAAAAAATGCTGCTATTAATATGTTAAGATTTCAGATTTTTTATTTGGGTTTAAAACATGAGCTTTATGTATTTTAGTTGCCTTCAACAAACACCTAGTGTCTTTTCAAATGCCAGGATAGTTACTAATGAACAAGTATGACGTTATGAGATTTTTCTGTTTCCTGTATGTCCGAGATGATGTGGCTTGGAGATATGTCCAATGCCTAGGTCTTTTCTGTGTCAGATTTTTGTAATGAACACAGCTTTCTATCTTGTGTATATATTATAATTGAAATCCTGTGCTGTCATTGTTGTCATGTTGTGGTGAATGGTGGTAATATTATATATGAGCTAGTGGGTGTCTGCCTTGATATGTTGGCATGGTAAGGAATATGAAGAGGTTTCCTGCTGTAAACCAAATATCAATGGAACCTGTCTGATTTCCAGTTTATTTATAACTCATCATGCAGAACCAGTATATCTGTATTCATGCTTTCTTCCTTACACCAGATAAAAATGCTTCATATTTCAGTATCACCATGGCATTGTAACTAGTTTAATGAAATGTTTAATGAAATATTGCTATACAAAATAAATCCTGAACAATAAATAAAGATTTGATATTAAAATTGGTGGTTTCACTTTCCAAATTCAATGTTCATCTTTTAGAAGATGTTCCTCATTCCATGATTATAAAGGACCAATGTGATCAGTCCGACATCAAAATGTAGAGCACTCAGATTTATGTGAGAATGACTGATGTAAGGGATTATGATGTATATTATACAGCCAGTGTGAATGCTTGGAAAATTAAATGGTCGTGCAGGATATATTATAATGTATTGTATTTGCACATTGACAAATTAAGTCTGATTTTCTTGTACATTTTATCTGCTTTTTATTTTATCATATATTAAATAGAATTTGAATTTATCAAATGTCCATACAGTCTTAGAAAACCAATAACCTGAAAAAAAGAAAGGTAAGAGAATTCACCGTGTGTAGTTGGTGTAGAAGATTCTCACACGATTGTTAGACTGAGATTTCTTGTTTCATGATTAAGAATTTTATTCATTGGTACCCTCTCTTTTGTCATGTTAAATGATATCACTACCATAGTGTTTAACATTATGTATAAGATGTTTTGGTCCTAGAGAAAACACAGGTTGTCTGGGAGGGCCAACTCAGTTATCAAACCGTTTATATTTTTTGTTAGCCCACCATCTATTCAAATAGATGGTGGGTTATTCAAATCGCCCTGCGTCCCTGGTCCGTCGTCCGTCCGTCCGTCCGTAAACAATTCTTGTTACCGCTATTTCTGGAAAAGTACAGGATGGATCTTTCTCAAATTTCATATGCAGTTTCCCCTTGGTCCCTAGTTGTGCATTGTACGTTTTTTGGACTGATTCGAATTCAAGATGGCCGACAGGTGGCCATCTTGGATTTTGGAAGTAAAAGTTTATTACTGCTATTTCTTGGAAAGTACTGGATGGATCTTTCTCAAATTCCATATGCAGTTTCCCCTTGGTCCCTAGTTGTGCATTGTACCTTTTTTGGACTGATTCGAATTCAAGATGGCGGACAGGTGGCCATCTTGGATTTTGAATGTAAAAGTTTGTTACTGCTATTTCTTGGAAAGTACTGGATGGATCTTTCTCAAATTTTATATGCAGGTTCCTTTTGGTTCCAAGTTGTGCATTATACCTTTTTGGACTGATCCGAAATCAAGATGGTTGACAGGCAGCCATCTCGGATTTTGAGAGTAAAATCTTGTTACTGCTATATCTGAGGAAGTCCAGGATGGATCCTTCTGATATTTCATAGATATTTGTTTTCCTTGGTCCCTAGTTGTGCATTGTACCTTTATTGGACTGATTTGAAATCAAGGTGGCCCACAGGCAGCCATCTTGGATGTCGACAGTAATACAGCACAAGCATATTGTCCATTATCCACCTGTAACTGACTGCTATCTAATAATACTTTGGGATCTTTTTCAAATGATATTTGCTAATAGGTGCTTAATAAAAATATCTTGTGCCATCATTGAGTACATTCAATGAAGACCAGTTCATGAACATTTACAACACCTGTAACAAACAAAAAAAAAATCTTCAAGAACTGAAAATTGATCCTCAAATGGTGGGCGCCAAGATCCCTCTGGGATCTCTTGTTTTGTAAGAAAGTGAAATTGTAAAGAAAGAATAAACATCACGTGATCAAATTTCATTTTTTATTATGTTTAACCTAAATTTGGATATCAGTTATTCTATAGCTCAACATTACAAATAACTCAATTATTTATCATTTTTTAGTCGCTGACTGTTACAGAAAATTGTTTAAGTGTTACGACCTCAAATAAAAGACAAAAACATAGAATTACCTTATAAATTATAGAAATCAAGAAAAACATTGTGATGGGTTAAACTACATGGGTGAAGATGAAAACAAAGACTAAGCTTATGAAATTATGGAGGTCAAGCAAAAATTGTAGTGGTTGATTGACCTACTTAGAACCTTAAGTGCTGGGATATATATAGATATTCTAAAATTACATCAGGCAAGTCCGCTTCTTCTGATATCTCACTATTATCACGTTCTCAATAGTGAGAAGAATATAGACTCATTGGCAAGTCCGCTTCTCCTGATAACTCACTATTATCAAGTTCTCAATAGTGAGAAGAATATAGGCTCATTGGCAAGTCCGCTTCTTCTGATATCTCACTATTATCACGTTCTCAATAGTGAGAAGAATATAGACTCATTGGCAAGTCCGCTTCTTCTGATATCTCACTATTATCACGTTCTCAATAGTGAGAAGAATACAGACTCATTGGCAAGTCCGCTTCTTCTGATATCTCACTATTATCACGTTCTCAATAGTGAGAAGAATATAGACTCATTGGCAAGTCCGCTTCTTCTGATATCTCACTATTATCACGTTCTCAATAGTGAGAAGAATATAGACTCATTGGCAAGTCCGCTTCTTCTGATATCTCACTATTATCACGTTCTCAATAGTGAGAAGAATATAGACTCATTGGCAAGTCCGCTTCTTCTGATATCTCACTATTATCACGTTCTCAATAGTGAGAAGAATATAGACTCATTGGCAAGTCCGCTTCTGATATCTCACTATTATCACGTTCTCAATAGTGAGAAGAATATAGACTCATTGGCAAGTCCGCTTCTGATATCTCACTATTATCACGTTCTCAATAGTGAGAAGAATATAGACTCATTGGCAAGTCCGCTTCTGATATCTCACTATTATCACGTTCTCAATAGTGAGAAGAATATAGACTCATTGGCAAGTCCGCTTCTGATATCTCACTATTATCACGTTCTCAATAGTGAGAAGAATATAGACTCATTGGCAAGTCCGCTTCTGATATCTCACTATTATCACGTTCTCAATAGTGAGAAGAATATAGACTCATTGGCAAGTCCGCTTCTTCTGATATCTCACTATTATCACGTTCTCAATAGTGAGAAGAATATAGACTCATTGGCAAGTCCGCTTCTTCTGATATCTCACTATTATCACGTTCTCAATAGTGAGAAGAATATAGACTCATTGGCAAGTCCGCTTCTGATATCTCACTATTATCACGTTCTCAATAGTGAGAAGAATATAGACTCATTGGCAAGTCCGCTTCTGATATCTCACTATTATCACGTTCTCAATAGTGAGAAGAATATAGACTCATTGGCAAGTCCGCTTCTGATATCTCACTATTATCACGTTCTCAATAATGAGACCTCTTTTCTACGCTTGTTGAAAAAAGTCTTAAAAGTGGAAAAAAGCCACTTTAACAAGAAACGACTGCATTATTATTTGGTGATTTGGGAGGTGAAGACCAGAAACTGTTGTCTCTTGAAAACAAGGAAAAGCTAGCGGACGGAGCATTTTGTTATATTCCTAAAAGCTTCTCGCGAGGTGCTATTATTATTGATTAATTAGTCGGCTATAATATACTGCACACAGGACAGACAAAGTTAAAGTAGGAAATAAATCATTGAAATATGTTCAAACCTGCACCTACAGGATACCTGATAACTAAGATATATGAACATTAACGTTTGTTAGGATCATTCAACATTTTCGTTACATGGAAAACATTTTACTGTTTCGCAAGCTGTTTAGAGCTGTTCTAATCCACAAATATGTTTAGCAGCCGATGAACACTAGATGTAGTGAAGTTAATCACAAGTCACTGAGGATTCAGAGTAGCAAACCAAATAGTGGAAGCGATTATAGTGTTGACATTAAAGGCATAACAATGGTCGGGTACCGCAGTGTTAACACTCGCCTTTCACTTTGACGTCCGGGGTTCGATTCCCAAATCTGACGTGAAAAGGTATGGGGTCACAAGTCTGGCCACCCTTTGCAGTCTCCCATTAGGACCATACCTTTGCAGTCTCCCATTAGGACCATACCTTTGCAGTCTCCCATTAGGACCATACCTTTGCAGTCTCCCATTCGGACCATACCCTTGCAGTCTCCCATTAGGACCATACCTTTGCAGTCTCCCATTCGGATCATACCCTTGCAGTCTCCCATTAGGACCATACCCTTGCAGTCTCCCATTCGGACCATACCCTTCCAGGCACCCATTCGGACCATACCCTTGCAGTCTCCCATTCGGACCATACCCTTTGCAGTCTCCCATTCGGACCATACCCTTGCAGTCTCCCATTAGGACCATACCCTTGCAGTCTCCCGTTAGGACCATACCCTTGCAGTCTCCCATTCGGACCATACCCTTCCAGTCTCCCATTAGGACCATACCCTTTGCAGTCTCCCATTCGGACCATACCCTTGCAGTCTCCCATTAGGACCATACCCTTGCAGTCTCCCGTTAGGACCATACCCTTGCAGTCTCCCATTCGGACCATACCCTTCCAGGCACCCATTCGGACCATACCCTTGCAGTCTCCCATTAGGACCATACCCTTTGCAGTCTCCCATTCGGACCATACCCTTGCAGTCTCCCATTAGGACCATACCCTTGCAGTCTCCCATTAGGACCATACCTTTGCAGTCTCCCATTCGGATCATACCCTTTGCAGTCTCTCATTCGGACCATACCCTTGCAGTCTCCCATTAGGACCATACCCTTGCAGTCTCCCGTTAGGACCATACCCTTGCAGTCTCCCATTCGGACCATACCCTTCCAGGCACCCATTCGGACCATACCCTTGCAGTCTCCCATTCGGACCATACCCTTTGCAGTCTCCCATTCGGACCATACCCTTGCAGTCTCCCATTAGGACCATACCCTTGCAGTCTCCCGTTAGGACCATACCCTTGCAGTCTCCCATTCGGACCATACCCTTCCAGTCTCCCATTAGGACCATACCCTTTGCAGTCTCCCATTCGGACCATACCCTTGCAGTCTCCTATTAGGACCATACCCTTGCAGTCTCCCGTTAGGACCATACCCTTGCAGTCTCCCATTCGGACCATACCCTTCCAGGCACCCATTTGGACCATACCCTTGCAGTCTCCCATTAGGACCATACCCTTTGCAGTCTCCCATTCGGACCATACCCTTGCAGTCTCCCATTAGGACCATACCCTTGCAGTCTCCCGTTAGGACCATACCCTTGCAGTCTCCCATTCGGACCATACCCTTGCAGGCACCCATTCGGACCATACCCTTGCAGGCACCCATTCGGACCATACCGCTGCAGTCTCCCATTCGGACCATACCCTTGCAGTCTCCCATTCGGACCATACCCTTGCAGGCACCCATTCGGACCATACCCCTGCAGTCTCCCATTAGGACCATACCCTTGCAGTCTCCCATTCGGACCATACCCTTGCTGGCACCCATTCGGACCATACCCCTGCAGGCACCCATTCGGACCATACCCTTTCAGTCTCCAATTCGGACCATACCCTTGCAGGCACCCATTCGGACCATACCCTTGCAGTCTCCCATTCGGACCATACCCTTGCAGTCTCCCATTCGAACTATACTCTTGCAGGCACCCATTCGGACCATACCCTTGCAGTCTCCCATTCGGACCATACCCTTGCAGGCACCCATTCGGACCATACCCCTGCAGTCTCCCATTAGGACCATACCCTTGCAGTCTCCCATTCGGACCATACCCTTGCTGGCACCCATTCGGACCATACCCCTGTAGTCTCCCATTAGGACCATACCCTTGCAGTCTCCCATTCGGACCCTACCCTTGCAGTCTCCCATTCGGACCCTACCCTTGCAGACTCCCATTCGGACCATACCCTTGCAGTCTCCCATTCGGACCATACCCTTGCAGGCACCCATTCGGACCATACCCCTGCAGTCTCCCATTCGGACCATACCCTTACAGCCTCCCATTCGGACCATACCCTTACAGTCTCCCATTCGGACCATACCCTTGCAGTCTCCCATTAGGACCATACCCTTGCAGTCTCCCATTCGGACCATACCCTTGCAGTCTCCCTTTCGGACCATACCCTTGCAGTCTCCCATTAGGACCATACCTTTGCAGTCTCCCATTCGGATCATACCCTTTGCAGTCTCTCATTCGGACCATACCCTTGCAGTCTCCCATTAGGACCATACCCTTGCAGTCTCCCGTTAGGACCATACCCTTGCAGTCTCCCATTCGGACCATACCCTTCCAGGCACCCATTCGGACCATACCCTTGCAGTCTCCCATTCGGACCATACCCTTTGCAGTCTCCCATTCGGACCATACCCTTGCAGTCTCCCATTAGGACCATACCCTTGCAGTCTCCCGTTAGGACCATACCCTTGCAGTCTCCCATTCGGACCATACCCTTCCAGTCTCCCATTAGGACCATACCCTTTGCAGTCTCCCATTCGGACCATACCCTTGCAGTCTCCTATTAGGACCATACCCTTGCAGTCTCCCGTTAGGACCATACCCTTGCAGTCTCCCATTCGGACCATACCCTTCCAGGCACCCATTCGGACCATACCCTTGCAGTCTCCCATTAGGACCATACCCTTTGCAGTCTCCCATTCGGACCATACCCTTGCAGTCTCCCATTAGGACCATACCCTTGCAGTCTCCCGTTAGGACCATACCCTTGCAGTCTCCCATTCGGACCATACCCTTGCAGGCACCCATTCGGACCATACCCTTGCAGGCACCCATTCGGACCATACCGCTGCAGTCTCCCATTCGGACCATACCCTTGCAGTCTCCCATTCGGACCATACCCTTGCAGGCACCCATTCG